AGGCCTGCGCCCCAGCGCTCTGGGCTTGGCCAGCGCCTCGGGTCGCCACTAGAGGGCAGCAAGCGACACGCCCGGCAGGAGGCGCAGGGGCTGCAGACTTCCCGCTCCCCCCCCCCCCCCCCCCCCCGCCCCGGGTTTATTCCACGCAGCATGTGCGGGCCCCAGCAGGCTGAGCCAGAGAGGTCACAGAGCCAACTAAACTCCTGCCCCGCGTCTTGGGCACAATGAATGTGTAGTCTGTGACCCTGTGAGAAGGAGAGTTAGTGACAGCACTGAAAGGGATCAGAGTTGAGCAGATACTCGAGAGCGCCAAAGCCGGTCCCTGTGGGAGTGGGTTCATGAGTTACTGCGAGGCTGTAGGGAGAGGGAGAGGGAGAGGGAGAAAGAGAAGGCAAAGAGCCCAGGGGACCAGGCGGTCGCCAGGGAGTTAAGGCAGGACCCATCTGAGGGGCAAACGTGGCAGGATAGGTCGACAGAGGAGGCCGGGGACAGGGCGTGGGTTTTGCTGCAGCCTGCCCACAGGAAACCCCAGGTCCTCCAAGCGTGAGCTGTGTGGCTTTGGAAAGTGTTGAACTTTCTGCGCCTCATCTCCCTACCTGTGAGGGAGGCGGCACAGTGCGGTCTGCAGCAGAGATGAGCCGAAATGGACTCTGAGGGGCGAATGGCTGCGGGGGTGCTGGACACACAGGAAGAACGCTGTCATGGCCGGCGGTACCATTGTCTGCCCTTGTTCTGCGCCCAGAGGCCAAGAAGCCGCACAGTGACCATTTTCTGAGAAAGATCCATATGACGTTCAAACAGCTGGCTTTCCCTCCTGAATCAGCTGGGAATTGGCTCCCGGCTGTGTGGCCATTAAGTTGTAACACTTGGGGGCGTGCATTTGGCACATAGGTTAAATAGCCACTTGGGATTCTGCCTCCCATATGGAGCTCCAGGTTCTAGTTCTGGCTCCTTTATTTCTGATACAGCTTCCTAATAATGCGCACTCTGGGGGGCGGGGGCAGCAAGTAATGGCTCAAGTACTTTGGTACATCTCTCTCAAAATGAAAATAAACAGGTGCAAGTGTTGTAGTACAGTGGGTTAACCTGCTGCTTGGGACACTTGCATCCTATCTCAGAGAGCCTGGTTTGGGTCCTGCCATCTCTGCTTACAATGCAGTTCCCTGCTAATGCACCTGAGAAGGCAACAGGTGATGGCTCAAGGACTTGAGTTCCTGCCACTCACGTGGGAGACTCACATGGAGTTCTCAGTTCCTGGCTTCCATCTGGCTCAGTCCTGGCTGATGCGGGCATTTGGGGACTGAATCACTAAATGGAAGGTCTCCCCTCTCCTCTCCACCCTCCCCTGTCACTCAGCCCTTCAAATAAGTAAATAAATAAATACAAATTGAAAAATAAATTGTAACACATGAATGTGTGATTAGTAAAATTTAAGGAATGTGTGTAGTTACTGAAGTCTGTCAATATTTAAATCAACAATTTATTTGTTCTCTCACATTTGAGTCTACAAAGCCTTTTGCTCTTTTCTCTTTTTCTTTCTTTTTTTCTTTTTCTTTCTTCTTTCTTCTTTCTTTTTTTTTTTTTTTTGACAGGCAGAATGGACAGTGAGAGAGAGAGAGAGAGACAGAGAGAAATGTCTTCCTTTTTGCCATTGGTTCACCCTCCAATGGCCGCCACGGCTGGTGCGCTGCAGCCGGCGCACCGCGCTGATCCGAAGGCCGAAGCCAGGTGCTTCTCCTGGTCTCCCATGGGGTGCAGGGCCCAAGCACTTGGGCCATCCTCCACTGCACTCCCGGGCCATAGCAGAGGGCTGGACTGGAAGAGGGGCAACTGGGACAGAATCCGGCACCCTGACCAGGACTAGAACCCGGTGTGCTGGCGTCGCAGGCAGAGGATTAGCCTAGTGAGCCGCGGAGACAGCTGCTCTTTTATTTTTTTTAAAGATTTATTTATTTACTTGAAAGGGAGAGAAAGAGAGAGAGCTTCCATCCACTGGCTGAAATGCTGGAGCTGAGCCAATCCAATAGCTGGAGCCGGGCCAATCTAAAGCCAGGAGCTTGGAGTTTCTTCCAGGTCTCCCATGTGGGTGCAGGGGCCCAAGCACTTGGGCCATCTTCCACTGCCTTCCCAGACTGCAGCAGAGAGCTGGATTGGAAGTGGAGCAGCCAGGACTAGAAACGACACTGCAAGTGGCGGCTTTACCCGCTAGGCAGATCGCCGGCTCCAACCTTTTGCTCTTGAAATGATTCCCTTGAATTGAGTGTGGGGAGACCCTCTGCTCCCTCCTATGCCCTCTTCACGAGATGTCTGGGTTGCTCCCCACTTTTCGTGTCTCCCTGCCTGAGCGTGGTCCCAAGGAGCCTGCCTGGCCCTGTCCTGTTGAGTTAGTGGAGCAGACGGAGCCAGTGCCTCTCGCTTTTCACTGCTTGCTTCTCCCTGCTCTCAGGTCATGGCCTCTTCCTCGTGCCCTCAGAGAACATCTAGAGTCTCAACTCTGATTGCTGGGTGCCAAGTTTTGCTTCAAAGCTGTGGGAATGTGAAAGTGCCCAGTCTGGGACTGGCATTGTGGCACAGCAGGTTAAGCCGCTGCCTGGGATGCTGGCAGCCCAACATGAGTGCCAGTTCAAATTCTGGCAGCACCACTTCCCATCCAGCTCTTTGCTAATGCGCCAGGGAAAGCTGCCCATGATGGCCCAAGTGGGTGGGCCCCCTGCCACCCATGTGGGAGATCCAGATCAAGTTCCAGGCTTCTTGCTTCAGCCTTTTCAAATCAATAGATCTTAAAAGAAAGTGTGCAGTCCTGGAACAATGCTGGCTCAGTGAGAGGCAGGTGGACTTCATCTTTTGGGGCCTCCGTTTCCCTTATCTAGAGAAGCGTGACGGAGACTCCTCTTTCCTCCCTCCCTGGGAGTATAAACAGGAAAAAGACGATTTGAGAGTTTACTGTGCCTGTTCCCACTGATGCATTTGTGTCTCAAATATAAACTCCCCAATAAAAGGGACCTACCTGAGCATGAAGCTGCCCCACGGGGCCAACTGGGGCAGACAGGGTCACGTAAGCCAAAGTCAGCTTTTCTCACAAAGCAACTGGGTCACAGCAGGAAATGTAAGGACTCCTAACGCTCCAACGTGCCATGACCACTTTAATGTTAAACCTGCAGTTTAATTTTAACTCATTTTATTCATGAATATGTAACACATGTACATATATTTACATAGTTTAACGTTCTAAGGTTATAAAAAGATATACAGTGGGAATGTTCTCTCCCGTTCCTGATTCCTGAACCCGGCTCCTTCTCTTCCTTTGGAAGCCAGCAATGTTACCATTTCCTAATGGAGCCTTCCAGAGTAACTTTATATAAAGAAATGCATACATAGTTTCTTTCTGCCCATCAATTTGCTTTTTCTAAAAAGCGGTACTATATAAGTACCTAAAGAACATCCTCATTCCTGCTTATGGGCCTGCCCCTATATATTTATTTTTTAAAAGATTTATTTATTTTGAAAGAGTTACACAGAGAGAGAAGGAGAGGCAGTGAGAGGGAGGGAGGGAGGGAGAGAGAGAGAGAGAGAGAGAGAGAGAGAGGTCTTCCATCCACTGGTTCAATTCCCAATTGGCCGCAATGGCCGGAGCTGCGCCAATCTGAAGCCAGGAACCAGGAGCTTCTTCTGGGTCTCCCATGTGGGTGCAGGGGTCCAAAGACTCGTGCCATCTTCTACTGTTTTCCCAGGCCATAGCAGACAGCTGGATCGGAAGTGGAGCAGCCAGGACTCGAACCAGTGTCCATATGAGATGCCGACACTGCAGGCAGTGGCTTTACCCACTATGCCATAGCTCTGGTCCCTGCCTTCATATATTTATACACCCATGTATATTTAGCCAGTTTCCTGGTTAATGAACCTTCAGGTGGTTTTAAGGCTCATGGAGCTGCAGGGAAAAGCCTTGTTGGTACAGACATGGTCCTTTGAAGTCTCGCTTCTCCTCCTGTGTGTCTCCTCAGGAAACCCCAACTGGGTGGCCGGGACCCCTTATAAGTCAGCAGATACAGAATTCAGGGAGAGAAGCTCAAGGAGCCTGGAAACTTAGACGAGAAAAAAGTTTCCTTTTTAAAACAATGTTTACTCCCACTTTATTATTTGAAAGCCAGAGCAGCAGAGGGAGAAAGAGAAAGATCTTCCATCTACTGGCTCACTTCCCAAACGCCCCCTGTAGCTGGGGCTGGGCCGGGCTGAAGCCAGGAGCCAGGAACTCCAACCAGGTCTCCCACATGGGTGGCAGGGGCCCAAGGGCTTGAGGCATCACCTGCTGCCTTCTTGGGTGTACATCAGCAAAAATCCAGATTGGAAGCAGAGGAACCAGGGCTGGAGCCAGGCACTCTTCCAAGAGTCCCAAGCAGTGACTTTACCTCTGCCCCAAAAGCCCGCCCAGAATCGCCTTTCTTTTCCAGGCTAAGTAATATTCCTTTACAAGTGGGCCCCCTTTGGTTTCCTTCCATCCATCCATGGACATCGGGTTATTCTCACGTGGCGACTGTTGGAAATAATGCTGCTGTGATCACGGATGTGCAAATGTCTGTCTCAATTCTTTTCGGTCTACTCTGCCCAGAATTGGAATTGCTTGCGTCTGTGTCTTATGTGTTGAGGACCGTGTAATGACTTTTAGGCACAAATTGGGAAGCACATCAGACTCACATTACAGGGGTCTGTCCTGTTCTGGTGCCCGCTCAGCGCCTCTCCCTGGAGCGGTGCAGTAAGCGTATTCAGCGCTAGGGGGCGCGGGACGTACCCCGACCTTGGCCTGGTGGGAGCAGGGCCGGGAATGCCCGATTGAGGGCGCCCTAACTCGCAACCCAGGCCGCCTGTTACAGGTGTGACGCGGGGTAAGGTAGCCTCTCTCGGCCCCAGCTTCTCATACAGAAAATGACCCGCATCAATCATCGGATCCATTTCCTCACGAACACAGAGCCTGGCCCGACACTCAATAATTCTGCCCCTGGTACCTGCGACAGCAAGGGGGGCCACCTGCCGGAGGCTTCTGGCGGGGACTTCCTCCAGGCTGGCGCGGGAGTGCACCGGGAGCGGCAGGAGGCTCCAAGCCCCCGCACGGCCGCCTCCTTCCAGTATCTGCGGTCAGTTCCTCATCCCCAAGCGGGGCAGCCCCCTACCGGAGTCCCTCCGTGGGGTCCGGGGGAAGTGGGCGGACGGCGGGCGAGACGCCACGCGGAGCAGCGCCACTTGGCCCTCCGCGCCTGGGGGTGGCGCTAGCGCCAGTCGGGCCGGGGGCGGCGCTCGGGCCGGGCTCCTCTCGGCGGCAGCGCACGGCCGGCGGCCGTCCGCGGGGCGGGGACGCGGCGGTGGCGGCGGCGGCTCGGTGGCGGCTCCGTGTCGCCGGAGCCCAAGCGCGCGGGCCGGTCCCGGCGGCCGGGGGCGCCATGTGGTTCATGTACGTGCTGAGCTGGCTGTCGCTGTTCATCCAAGTGGCCTTCATCACGCTGGCCGTCGGTGAGAGTGCGCGACTGTGGCCCGCGCGGGCTCCCGCGCTGGCGTCTGTGCTCGCCGGGGGTCGCATCGCGGGGTTCCGGGGCGACTCCGGGGGCCCCTGTCGGCGCTGCAGGCCTGCGCCGCCCCCTTCCCGCCCCGCCAGTCCTGCCCTTCCTGCTGAGCCCAGCAAACCCGGCCTGGCCGCGGGTCCTGCCAGATGTCACAAAGTTCGCCCCGGCAGAGCCCGTGCCCGCGAACCACCAACCGCTGCTGCTCCCAGCTTGCTGGCCGGAGGCGCCGAACGTCCCCCGACACCGCCCGCCACTCTTTCCGCTGTGCCTCTCTGTACTTGCTGTTCCTCCGCCTTTGACACCTTTCCCTCTTCCTGCACCTCCTCCCAGAAGCCCTCTGTGGTGGGTTGGTGGTCCAGCAGGTGCCCTGAACATTCCCTCGAGTAGCACTGTCACGCTGGGAGCGTCAGACTCCTTTCCCAAGCTGCGTCAGGAAGGGACCCTGTCTGCCTTGTTCTGTTGTAGTCTCGGCACCCAGCCTGGCACCTGGTCTCCTCCGTGCCCAGCAGGCATTTACTGCGGGCGTGAGTGAAATGCCGCTTTCTGGGCAGAGGTCAGCCCGGTGCTGAGGTGTCCGGTGGAGCCTACCACTGCATGAAACCTCCTCTTAGTTGCCCTGACCGAGTTTCGCGTGGTTCTTTGGTTTACTCCTGACCTGGCATCCACACAGGGTCTGTGGGGTTCGGGGTCGGGGAAGTGACCCTGGCTGATGCTCTCCCCATCCCCTCAGCGGCCGGACTCTACTACCTGGCAGAGCTGATAGAAGAATACACAGTGGCCACCAGCAGGATCATCAAGTACATGATCTGGGTGAGTGGCAGCCTCCTCTGGGATTCTCCCTCGCTCTCTGCTGTGCCCCGAATGCAGGAAGGGAGGAAAGTGGCGGAAATGCTGAAACCTGTGAGCTTTTTGCCGAGGGGAACTGCCCGCAGCCCTGCCCTGTACCCGGCCTTTGGGTCTGCACCCCAGGCCCACATCTTCCCTGGCCTCCTTCCCTAAGTGCTGTCTTCACCTCATTCTCGGTTCCTTAAGGTGACAGCCGGATGCACCCTCTCTGTCCACAGGACCCTGGCTTGGCCTGTGCTTGGCTGTCTTCCACTGCCTCTAGTCCCTTGCTGTGTTCACAGCATTTGGAACTTGGAGGAACCTTCAGGACAATTTTGAGTTCTTGTTCATTGCCCTCCTCCTGATCCGATCGAGCGATTTGTCCTAAGAGGGGAGGACTTTCCTCAGCCCGGGCCCATGGGAGGCTTCTCTTCCTGGAGACACAGCCCTCGCCATTGATGCTAACGCCACAGCAGTGACTGCCGGAAGTCACATTGCTGCCGGCTGTCGAAGAGGCTGGGGTGGTGGTGTCAGTGCCTTGGGCAGCAGGAGTCCACTGCCTCTCAGGCAGCCGGCGTCCGCAGCCGTTTCCACTCTGGGCACGGCCTAGGATTGGGAGCTAGTGGTGGAGATAAGACTGTTGCCCTCAGCTCTGGGTCCAGAGGCCCAGCCTGTGGGTGTTGGCTCAGGAGTTCAGCCAACTGTCATTTGTTAAGTACTGACAACAGTAAGTCCTTCAGAACAATGCTTTCTGAGTGCAGGCGTGATTCATTATTGGGTTATATAATTGATTCAGTAGGACAGTCAGCATTTTTTTTAGAAAAATGAGGTAGAAAAAAGACTAATTAAAATGTGAGCTCTAATCATGAACGTGTGTGTTGCGGTCAGGGTGCTCAGTGTTTTCTTGCTGTGGCTTGCCATCAAGAAAATTTTGACAAATGACACTGAAAGATGGTGTCCTGCGGAACTGAGAGGCTGGTGGGGGAGGCCACACCTTTGTGACCAGGGAGATGGACACGTGTCCATAGCGCTGCCCTGAGCAGGCCAGGGTTGGCGGGCGTGGAGGGGTTGGTGGGTGTGGAGGGGATGCCGGGAAGGGCTGCCGCACCTGCGCCTCTGCTGGGCTGGCCGGGGTTGGCGGGAGCGGAGGGGTTGGCGGGAGCGGAGGGGATGCCGGGAAGGGTTGCTGCCCCTGCGCCTCTACTGGGCTGGCCGGGGTTGGCGGGAGCGGAGGGGGTGCCGGGAAGGGCAGCCACACCTGCACCTCTGCTGGGCAGGCTGGGGTTGGCGGACGCGGAGGGGATGCCGGGAAGGGCTGCCGCACCTGTGCCTCTGCTGTTGCAGTTCTCCACGGCCGTGCTGATCGGCCTCTACGTCTTTGAGCGCTTCCCCGCCAGCATGATTGGCGTGGGCCTCTTCACCAACCTCGTCTACTTCGGCCTCCTGCAGACCTTCCCCTTCATCATGCTGACCTCGCCCAACTTCATCCTGTCTTGTGGTGAGAGGGGCCGGGGTTGGGGAGGCAGCTGACACGGGCAGATGTGTCTGACTCAGGCTTGGGCTTCGAAGGCCAAGTGGCGGAAGGAGGGAAGCCACTGAGGTCCCCCGAGAGGCCAGTCTGGTTGGGAAAATGGAGTTCTCACTCTTGAGGACCCTGCAAGCCCGCCTTGTCTCTGTGGCTAGTTTGTTGGGGTATGAGGAGGGAAGCGTCCGATGCAGGGGGCTCTGCCACGGAGGTAAGCGAGGGAAGGTCTGAGAATGAGAGGTTGTGGGGTGGCAGAAGCAGGCCCCCAGCAGAAAGTCAGAGAAGCCACCGGGCCACCGACAGCCCAGAGCCCTTCCTTGGCAGGCCTCCGTCCTGCGGCTCACGTCCTGAGTCCACGGCCTCAGTGGGCCGGGAGCCCCAGCAGACGTGGCCTGGTGTGAGAGCCTCCTGGGACTGCCTTTCCCACCCTCACTGTGAGTGCAGCAGCGGCCTCAGGGCTGCGGAGTGTGCATGGAGGACCCAGGCCTTCCTGCCTTTGCCCTGCCACCACTTTCTGACTCCGGGAAGTCGCTTGCCCTCGCTAGGCCTGCACTTCTGCCGTCTGTTGAGAGATTTCTGACAGGGCTGCTGGGAGCCAATGGCACCTGGTCAGGGATTATAGGTGTTTTCAGATATTAATGGAAAAAGTATTGGAAAGTCTTTCATTCCCAGCATTGCCACTTCTTCCACGAATCATTGCTGGTCATCCTTGCCATGGGGCAGGCTAGCAGATGGAGTGGGCGCTTCTTAGAGCTGCTTTCCTGTGTCTGTGGGAGAAGCTGGGAAGCAGACGTTACCCCTGGGAGAGCTCACTGTCCAAGCCAGGACTGGGCTTTTCCCTGAGTGCCTTTGTGTGACTTCCCCAGGCAGCTGGCTAAGACCAAGTCCCTTCTACATCTTCCCAGGGCAGGGGTCCCCCTTGTCCTCCACAGCAGCCCTTTAGCTGCCTGTGTTTTTCTGAATGATCTCGGTGAGGTGGACAGCAGGCCCATCCTATCTTCCAGTATCCCTTAGCTCCGGAGTGAGCTGAGCCTAGCAGAGTGTGGCCTCTGCCTTGGAAGAGAGGAAGGAGACAGAGTTGCTGTGTGGCGTTGAGGGCCTTAGCCTCGGGGACACATTCTTTGTGTCACCTCTCCGCAGGCGCGAGCAGCCATGCCTCTCTCTGCAGCACGTCTGTCCCCAGAATCTGCTCGCCTCCCTCTCGTAAACTCAGCTGCACACTGAGGAGGTGTGTGGTGCGCAGCTGCAGTGCGGACCAGCGTGCCTCACCTGAGGCAGGGTGGAGGAGGACCCCTGCCCAGGATCCAGAGCAGCCGAAGACGGCAGCTCCAGGCCTCCCACAGACCCTGCCACTGCATTGCCAAGGGAGAAAGCCTCTTCTGCCTGTTCCCCTTTGGGCGTACATCCATCTCCACGCCCTGGACTTCCCTGCCCCTGCTGCCCATGGAGAGCTTTCTTTGGGACTCACTTCCATTGCAAACCAAGTTCATTGTTATTGCTTTGGATTATGTAACATGGAAGTCTCATTTTCTAACATGCAAAGCAGCTCTTACAGACCTACTTGTAATGCCTTCCTGCAGCGGACAGGTTGGAGCCAATGCTCTGATTTTAACGTACAAGCAGAAGATCTGGACAGTAGTATGCTTGGCCCAAAGCCATCCTCCGAGTTATATATAAAGTTGGGGCACAGACCCAGGGCTCTCCGCCCCCAGGGGCCTTGGGAAGTTTAGGAATGCGGCCTTGTTATCCCCCCAAGTTGACTGATTCGCACTCCTTTCACAGGCCTGGTGGTGGTGAATCATTACCTAGCATTTCAGTTTTTTGCGGAAGAATATTACCCCTTCTCAGAGGTAAGAAGTGCGCGGGGCGTCAGCCTTTCTCCCAGACGGGGAGTCAAGGGGAAGTGTGTGATTTGCTTGGCAAACTCAGCTCTGGTTGAAACCAGTCTCTTCAACAATTACAGGTTTAGAAACGTAGCACAGATGATCTTAGAAAGTAGGGTGGCTGAGGTGAGAACACTGCTCTTCCACTGGGGTCTTTGGGATCCCCCTGAGTGGGTCTTGGTGAGGTCAGGAAGGGGCTTTGGGGTGGGGATGAGCTGCAGCCTGGAGCCCCAGCTCCTCCCAGCAGCCTCCCCGGATTTCTTCAGATACCCTGCTGCTCCAGTTTGACACTGTGGGGAAGAACAAGGTCATTTTTGGGGAATGTGGGTCAGTCGCGGTGTAATCCTCCATCTGTACCCTTTTGTCCTGAGGAATTGTTTGTCCTAGTGACCAAGATGTGGGGATGGTGGCTATGCGTGGCCATTCTCAGTCTCTGCCTTTCCCCATGGGGCAGTCTCCACGTGCAAGGATGGCCCACCCCTGCCTACTAGGCCCTGGCCTCCTGCAGTGGTCAGAGGCGCGGCCTTCTCTGCACCCTTCACCACTCCTCTGAGACCACCGGGACCACACCCCGCCTTCTCCTGGCACCTCCGGGGCACCTTCTCCTCAGGCTGTCTTGTTGCTAGGTCCTGGCCTATTTCACTTTCTGCCTGTGGATAATCCCGTTTGCATTCTTCGTGTCACTTTCGGCTGGGGAGAACGTCCTGCCCTCCACCATGCAGCCAGGAGGTGAGCAGGGGTCTGTAAGGGGCGGGGTGCAGGGACAGCACAAGGCCCAAGTGCTGGGGGAGCTGGATGGAGCCCAGTCCCATGATGCAGGTGCCTGGGCTCCGGGTTGGGAGAGCTGGGTTCACATGTGCACGTGCACACACATACATACACACACACAGTCACACTCACTCATCTCCCTGTCTGTGTCTTCACAGATGACGTGGTCTCCAATTACTTCACCAAAGGCAAGCGGGGCAAACGCTTAGGCATCCTGGTTGTCTTCAACTTCATCAAAGAGGCCATTCTGCCCAGTCGTCAGAAGATATACTGACCCCCTTGGGGAGGGGATGTGGGAGCCAGCTCAGGAGAGTAGGCCCTGGACCTCTGGCTAGATGGGGGCTGAGAGCTGGAAGACAGCTTCTTCCAGTCCTGGCTTCCCTCCCCTCGACTGAAGCCCCATCCCCGCCCTCCTCGGGGCTCAGCATGGCTCAGAGATGGTGCTGCCAGAGGCTAGAACCACAGAGGGCACCAGGGAGGGGGAGAACCTGCTTAGCCAGGAAGCCGAGGTGGCCGGGAGGTTCTGGCCCAGCTGCGGCAGGCAGGGCAGGGTCTGTGAAGCTGGAGAGCAGACAGTGACAAGTTCTCTGGGCAGATGGCCATATGGAAGGGCCAGGGCTTGCCACTTCCAAGAGAAATAGTTTTTGCTGTTGAACTGTGATTTGTGTCCAATTGCTGATTCCCGTTTGAATAAAGATTTAGGTGGCACTGTTTGCCTTAATACCCTGAAGTTCATCCTCCTTTCTTCCTGCTGACCTTCTGCCCTGAATGGCCTAGTTTTGCTGCTCCAGGGACTCCCTTTCTGGGTTTGGGGCTTGCCCTTCTGAAGGGGACTGTTCTTGTGGCCCTTAGTGGGAAGGGGACAGAGATGACTGAGCCTGGTCAGCAAGCGGGCAGGGGTGGAGGCAGCCTTCCCATGCGCCTCCTTTTCTTTTCCATCTCTTCTTTCCCCAAGGCTCTGAGACTGGCCAGCTGGGGGGGGGGGGGCAGTTAGGACCAGGCTGGACGTTCACAAGAACATCACAATGTCCTATTTATGTCTTCCTCTGGCGAGCAGGGGTGGTTTCTGGCTGGATTGCAGCCTGGGCTCTAATCTGTTTCTACAGAAATGGGACTGGTGGGAGAAGCTGTTTGTCGTTTTTAAGAGCACACAAGATCTGGCCTTTTCCTTGGGGTGCTCTTGGCTCCTAGGGAGGTAATCTGTGCCTTCTAAGAGGTCCTGGGCGCAGAGCAGCATTTGTTGACCTTGCATTCCAATTACAGTGCCTTGCAAGTGCTCAGCACCACTTACTAGAATGCAGTCTCCACGGGAGCCATCACTGGCTATGTACTGTACCTCAACGTGAGGTTGGCAGGTGCACACGTGGACTGCACATGTGTACCTCCAAGCCGCTGGGAAGACCCATGTGCTTGAAGTGCGACATGCGTGAAGTCCCATCACAGCCCTCATTTCCTTGGCATTAGTTTCCATTCTCCTAAAAATACCAGCCCTCTCCTTTGGCTGGGAGGACCAGCACATGTTGGTCTCCCTTGATGTGAATGAAAGTTGCAGACAAGGACAGGCAAGGTGGAGGATGCTGGAGGCTGACCTCACTGATGGCCCTGCTCTCCCTTGCTGTCCACTTGTTGGTTCCTCACCCTACTGATGAGGCTGCATGCCCTCCATTCAGTCTGCTCCCAGTGCCCACCGCAGGGGTTGCCAGTGGCTGTTGTGCTCAGCCCTACTCCCCCGTCCCATGTCCCATCTGACTCGAGCTGCAGTGGCCGATCCCCCAATTCCTGACTCACCTCCATGGCTGCTTGTCTTAACTCTGTCTGCTCCTTGCCATCTCCTGTGCAGCCTTCTCCACTCGCCCCACACACTCTGGGGTCTCTCAGGGTTCTGTCTTTGGCTCTCCAGGGGAAGCCCATCCATGTTGATGGCTTCAAGGACTTTACCAAGAAATGGAGAGTTGATTTCCAGTCTCCCCATCTTTCCTGGCCCGCAGTTCTACTGTTGTCTGGGTATACACACAACTCAAGTTCATGGGCCAGACGGTACTTGCTGTCTTCTGCAAACCAGACCCTTTTGGGTATCTGCCTTGGCCCTAAGGTCACACAAGCCAGGCAGGAAACCCTTCTTTCTAGGCCTGCTTTGTCTTTCTGCTCTTAACATCCAATCTCTTGAAAACTGTGTCTGCTTTCTTAACATTTCTTGATTCGAGCCACTCCCCCTGTGAGCTTTCACCTGGCTTATTGTGCCGAACTCCTCCTGCTGCTTCTCCATCTTTCTAAAATGCACAGTTGATCGCTCACTCCCTGGCCAGAAGTCTTCCATGGCTCCCGCTGCCCTCAGGATAAAGTCCAGACCCCTTAGCATGGCTGTGAGAGTCCTGGTGTCCTGGTCCCTGCCCTCCTTTCAGCCCTCATCAGTGACTTTCCTGCGCTGTGAGTCCCAGCCTCCTGTATCCAGAGAGGCCACAGCACTCCCTTGCTACTTGTGACTCACCTTTCTTGAGGCCACTATTCTGTCACATCCCAACTTAGATTTTACTTCCTCCAAGGAGCTTTGGATGTGCCCTGTCTCCCCCAGCCTCATCCCAGCACACCACACAGGTCCCTCTGGGCTCATTTGCCTGCTTTACCATCCATCCTCACTAGACTGTAAGCTCCTAGAGGGCAGGGACTATCCTTGAATTTTTTTGTATCAACTGTGCCCAGCTGGTGCCCAGCACATGGAAAGCACTCAATAAATGTTTGTCTAATGAACGAATTGTAGTGATGTGTGCATCAGATTGCAGGAGGCCCAGGTGGCTTCCTGGAGGAAGTACAGGCGCTTCCCCAGTCCCAGACTAAAGCCACAGATGCCACCACACCTCCCTGCACTGCACTCAGTGGCAGTGGGGAAAGCCTCCCCGGAGTGACACGTTAACTCTGGCTCTGCAGCCAAACAGTGAGGTTTGGAGTCTGCAGCCAGAAGGAGCAGGGGGTAGAATCACCCAGTGGTCCTCTCCATCCTGGAAACCTTGTTTGTGTTGGGCTTGGCCAGGGTGGGAAGGCCCCAGAGATGCCAGAGCGTCAGCTTTTACAAGGCTAGGGCTCAGGAGACTGACTTCCACTCTGCACTACTCTGGATTCCCAAGGGCTGGAGAGAGTTCCTTGCAGAGAGGAGGCCTGAGGTCTAGACTTTTGTTGAGGGGAAGTTGGGGAGCATGGGCATCTTCCTGTCCTTGACCTTGGGAGTGGGAACCCCCGGACATGCCTTCCCCTTCCTTCCCACCCACAACATGAATCAGCACACCATGGACTTCACTAGGCTGCCTCATGCCCTGAGGCCACCGAAGGAACTTTACAGAGGGCTTGTGGGGGTGGGCAGAGCAGGGAGCCCCCGGTGAGCTCGCACGTTGGCCAGGAAGCCTTCGTCAAATGTCTCGCGCAGGCTCATGGCCAGAGTGTTGGTCCAAAAGGTGCGGTTGTCCAAGTGCCGCTTGTGGGGCACGTCCTTGATGGTGATGGCATGAAAGCCCTGGGGTACCTTCATCCTGTACGGCTGCTTCTGTGGGTACAGCTCGCGGACCATCACCTCCAAAGGCAGCCGGGGCACGGGCGCCACCCAGTGGCCATTGGCCGTGTGCAGCCATGCGTAGCCATGGGGGCCGGGGATCACCTCCAGGAAGCTGCTGAAGTCTTGCTCCCTGCAGGAGTCTGGATGCACGCCCAGGCGGATGCCCTGCGGGTAGCTGAACTGGGTCGGGGGAGAACTGGCGGGGTTGTTGCTAGGATTCCACATTTTGGGCCGCCTGAGTGGGGGCCGCCTGTAGATGGGCTTGGTGGGCAACCGCGCCGGGCACTGCTGTATGCTTCCAAGCTGTTTCTTCCCCCAGGGCTGGGAGCTCTGGGAAGTCTGCGGGCCTTGGTATTCTGAGGTTTTAGGGAGGATGGTGGGGCGGGATCGGGTACTGGCCACTTGCGTATCCTTGGTGAGCAGAGAGTGGCGCTGGTTGAACAACTTGCAGCGGAGCCACTTGGTGAAATCCTCCTCTCTCAGAACCTTGTGTTCCTTCTGCAGCAACAGAGAGCCAAGACGGGGGTGGGGGCCGCCACTGTGTACTTCAGTGGAAGGAGGCCTGCGGCCAGACCTTGAACTTTAGGCCTGACTGGCAAGACACCGTCCTTGCTCAGGGCAATCCGCTGATGGAGGAGACCCTATGGGAGGGAGCGCCTGGGCTGCTGGGGGAGCAGCTGTCCCGTGGGGGGGCCCTGCAGTCTGACAGAGACATGGCCTCTGCCTTGGGCGCGACTCCCACTCGAGGAGGAAGACAGTCCCTGTCCTGGGGAAGGCTTTAGAATTTACGGGCAGAGAAGCCGCTCTCCCCGGAGGAATACCTGGTCTGACAGGGGAGGTGTACTCTGCTGTAAGGGAGGCTCTGGTTTTATGGGGGGGGGGGGGGGCAAATGAGAAGGGCCAGCTGTACTCTTGACCCCGGAAGGAGAAGCATTGAAAGGTTTGGAAGGCCTGGAATTGGGTTGAGCTAATCTGGATGGGCTTCTTGGAAGCAGTGGGCCATGAGGAGTCAGGCCAGGGTGGATACAGTGGGCTGGCTCTCCAGGCTGCACAGCAATGACTGGGTCCAGCACTTGCCCTGCCTCCACTGGAGCTGAACCTTCCACCTGCTGTCACAGATCCCCCCACTGTTGTCTCAGTGTCTCACTTCCGGACTAAGCAATCCGGTGCTTTTGAGATTGACCTGGCTCCAGGGGTAGCCTCTGATTAGGCTAAGCCAATCAACATAATTCCATCAGCCTTGTCCCAGACCCAAGGCAATCAGCATATGGCTTTCTTTTAGTTCTGCTCTCATTGGGACAAGAATGGGCATGTGATCCAAAAGAAGCCAATAAGGAGAGGAGATCTGCTAGGGACACCTGGGCAAGGTTAGAGCCACAGGGAACAGATGGGCCTTGCCTCCTGTGGACATGTGTGTGACTAGGAGAGCTGGGGTACTGTGTTTACCAGACCTCCCCACTTCGAGATCCACTTCAGACTCCCAGATTTTCCTTCTGGCTTTCCTGGCTTTCGTGCCACAGGTGATTACACCTGCGTAAAATCCCCTTGCTTCCTCAGCCCCTGCAGATCTCTGCTCACCCCTCTCCAGCTCAAATCTGATCCTCCAGATGCACCACACTGGCAGCTGTCTGCCCACATCATGGTCCTGTGTGCCTCGATGCCTCTCCATGCGGCTCTTTCTTCTACCTGGTCAGCCCTTGCCTACTGCTGCCCATCTGGACAGACATCATCCCTTCCAGTACCCCCAGGACCCCTGGCACCTCTAGGGGGCTATCATCTACTTTCTTCCAAGACCCGAAGCTCCCTACACTTTATACATCTCGAGAGCCCCCGGACCCAGCAGGTGCCCAGCACGGAGGGAGTGCTGAGCATGTGCCGGGAGGAAGGCTGGGTCTCTTTAACCAGAGTGAGTCCCAGTTAGAGGCCAGGCCTCCGTCTCCTGAGAGGCTGGCATTCTGCAGGAGGCAGAGTGCTCAGAGGGGCTCACAGACATCTGCCTTTAGGTGGTGGTGGCTGGCTCACCCAGGACAAGACTTTTCCCCATGCAAGTGGCTTATATGACTGGAATTTGTCATCCTGGGGGAGCAGGGGGCCCTTTCTGGGTGAGTGCTTCTAACTGCTCTTCTTGCCACACCATGGGGCTCCCTGCCCCCTTTGCTCAGATGCCCATAACAGCTGACGCCCAGCACCCCTGCCCTTCTCATGCCTCGCTGCTCCCATGCCTTCCACAAGGCCTGCCCCTTACTTGGTACTCAGTCAGGTAGTCCAGCTCTATGAGGGCCAGCTGCTCCTTGAGCCTCTTCACTTTCCCCATCTCACGGGCAAAGTCATCCTTGTCCCGTTTCCACATGGCATCCTTCAAGAACCTGTGCAGGGTGGGGACGTGTCACCCCGCAGGGGCTGCGCTGCCACAGGTACTGCCACTGAAGGCCTGGGTAGAGGCGGGAGGAGCTGCCAGCGTCCATGTGAGCAAGAAGTCCCCATCCTTGCTGTGGGGGTCCCCGGCACTTCCTTTGAGGAGCCAGGGGCCCCAGGACAGGCAAGGCAGGTAATGCTCAACCCAGAGGGGTGGGGCCTGGGGAAAGCCCTGCTAGTGTTATCCTGGTCAGGGAGGCAGCAGACTGACCCCTCTGCTGTCTGGCTTCCCACACCCTCCTCTGAAAGGTGTAGCCTTTGAGGGCCATGGGGAAGCCCTGGGATGGGAGAAGGGAAGGGGGTGGCCACTGCTGGTGGGCCTCATACTCACCGGGCACAGGTGCGGTGGTTCCACATCTTGCAGTAGTCAATGGGTTTGCAGCCCAAGGCGTCTTGGGCATGGACATTGGCGCCCCTCTGCACCAGTACCTTCACACAGCCCAGCAGGCCCTCGCAAGCTGCCAGGTGCAGGGGTGTGGAGCCATTGTGTGTCTGACTGCAGGCCCGGGGGGTGGGGAAGAGGACCGAAAGGAAGGACAAGGGCAGGTGTCCATCAGAGAGGTAGGCAGACCAGCTCTCAGGGCCCAACTGCCTCCAGCCCACAGGGCGGCTCAGCCATGCCCTGCGCTCACCCTGCCCTGGGCTACACAAGCAGCACAGCTCTGATTAGAGGAAGTGCGCGGCCATTCAGAACTGCTTGGAGGAGAGAGAGGTTGGTTCAGAGAGCACTGACCTCCTCCGCCCCTCAACCATCCCTCGCCGCGCCCTGCCTTGGCCAGCAAGGTCTGCATGACCTGGGCCCTGCCTCCTCTTTGACCTGGCTCTGACCTGGCCCCTCTCTTCCCTGACACGTGGTCTCTGCCTGGAACACTTCTCCCGGCTCTGCATGGCCAGCTCATTCCCAGTCTTCAGGTTGTAACTTAAATGACATCTCGGAGGAAACGATTTGCCCCTTCCAGAATAAGCTCTTCCTACCACCACCCCCCATCAGCCTGTTACATTCTTCTGGTAGCCACTTCCCTCGCTCTGGCTGCTCCTGCACTAGTATGTCCACCCAAGAGGGCAGGACCCACTTCTGGGTGTTCTCTGGCGTGCTGCTTAGTACGTATTGCATGCTCGGCAAATATATGGAGTGAATGCAGTCTCCTGTACACCACACGCTTTCTCACTTCTCATCATGTGCCATGTGACAGGCACTGTCATCCTTCCAAATTTAAATTGAAGACACTGAGGCAGTGGTTCCCAAACTTAGCTACGGATCAGAAATATGTAGGGGACTGGCATTGTGGAGTGGCAGGTTAAGCCTCCGCCTGCAATGCCACTGGCATCCCATATAGGTGCCTGTTCCAGATCAGGCTGCTCCACTTCCAATCCAGCTCCCTGCTAATGTACCTAAGAAAGCAGTGGAAGATGGCCCAAGTCCCTGGGCCTCTGCACCCACATGGGAGCCCTGGAAGAAACTCTGAGCTCCTGGCTTTGGCCTGGCCCAGCCCTGGCCCTGTGGCCATTTGGGGAGTGAACCAGAGGATGAAAGATTTTTCTTTCTCAAAAAAAAAGGGGGGGGGGAGGGAGAGAGGGAGAGGGAGAGAGAGAGAAGGAAGGGAGGGAGAAAGAAAAGGGAAGGAGTGGGGAGGGAGGGAGGGAAAAAAAGAAAGAAAAACATGTGGAGCACTTTGAAGACTCACAGAGCCCAGGCCACATCACAGACCCATGGAACCAGAGCCTCTGCATTGGAGCACATGTCCTGGGGGTGATCCCAGTGTACCCATCGGTTTGGGAACCAGAGGTTGGGTGACGTTGCTAGCAAGTGACAAAGCCACAATGTGAACTAAGTCTGTCCTCTCCCAAAGTCCAGTGTCTTAACCACTGTACCACGTGGACTCGCTGGCTGCTTTAGGTGGACCCAATCCTTGACACCTCTAACACCCCTTCTGCCTGTCCTGCATGGGTCTCCTTGCCCGGAAGTGGGCTTCTTGTCCGCCCAGACCCCGGGGGCCTCCGCAGAGTGGACTCACGCATCGAGGTTCGCCCCTTTCTCGAGCAGGTACTGAATGCACGGGAGGGCCACGGGCTCGTTGTCCTTGTGGATGACGAGGTGCAGGGCTGTCTCGCCGCCATGGGTGGGCAGGTCCACGGGGAACTCGTACTCGTCTATCAGGACCTGCAGGCAGGTCAGCTGGCCCTGCTGGGCTGCCAAGTGGATAGCAGCGAAGCCCTGTGGAGCCAGAGTGGGGCAGGAGGAGACTGAGCGGATCCCGCCCAGGGCCCACAAACTAACTGCTGCGCGAGTTTCCGGAGAGCACACTTCCGCTCTGCCTGTGCCGGCGGCACAGGTTCCTACCCCTTTGCCATTCCTGGGGTGTGTTCATTAGCTCACCGGGCGTCCTCCACAGAGGACCTTTCCGACGGCCCTGGGGCCCTGGGCAGCCTGCGACCGCAGGTGAGGAGCCCTTGGCGGGGGAGGAGGGGCCTGGCTCCCCGCCCCTACACCCCGCGGCCTCACCTTGTCGTTGGCCTCGATTTCCCCGCGGCGCTGGTTCAAGCAGAACCGCAGCCATTCCACATCGCCCACCGAGGCCGCGAACAGCTGATAATAGTTCCCAAAGACCCTCTGGTCGGACTCCTCGATGGGGCTAGAGTCGGCGGGGCAGAGGTGAGAGGGGAAGGGGCGGCCCTTCGGGGTACTGAGGGGAGCCGCTCTGGATTCGAGCCCCGGCTCAACCCAGCCCTCGCGGCGTCAGGACTCCGAGCGGCAGCGCCGCGCGCCCCAGGCCCTGCTCGCCCAGGCCGAGGTCTCGCGCCCCGCAGCCGGGCCACCTACCCCCTCGGCCCACCTGGGCAGCCTGGACTCCGGGGTATTCCCGATGACCTTCAGGGAAACTTGATGCCCGCCGGAAGGAGCCAGGCGGAGCAGGTCGGGGCTGAGCTGCTCGCCATCCTTCCCCGCCAGGCTCCCGCCTGCCCGCTCCCGCCCAACGAGAGGGCGCGAGAGCCCAGGCCGTCCCGGGGCTGGAGCTTGGTTCTCCCGGCCCTGCGCTGCTCCCAGGGCCGCCGCAGCGCTGCGGGCCGAGCCCCCCAGGGTGTTAGGAACCCGGCCGGCCGCTCCGGGCGCTTCCGAGGTCTTCCGACCCCACCCGCCCGGGCCACTGCCCTGGAGGTCCAGCATCCAACACACGGCAAAGGAGAACCTTAGCTTTCGTTGCCGCTGGTGCAACGCATACGTTAGGAAACCGAGAAGCCGGCCCCGCGCCACAGTCGCGGTCTATGGGGCCTGTCTGGCGTGTACACTCAGGCAGCCCTGGTCCCTGGGGGCGCATTGTGAGCGAATTGCCGTTGTCACCACACCGCAAGCCACATTGTGACGCGCCGTCACATGTGCTACACAAAACGAGCGGCTGTTTTCCTCCCATGGATTTCTGGAGCGGGCACTCTAAACCAGGGAACACACTTGCGTTTCCCAACTCGCCCTCCACCAGGCTTTTGCATCCACGTGCACCTGCACTGCCGCGAAGCAGGTGCATGGCGCGCTGGTGGCCTAGCTTTTGCGCTGCCTGGTCTCGGTGTGTCGGTTTCTGCCTCCGCAGAATGGGGATAACAGGACCTCCCACACCGGGAGCGAAGGGGCCGAGCGGTGAGAACCCGGCCAGCTGGTGTGGCCAGAGACGCACCAGCGACAGGTTTGCTGTGTAAAACAGGAACTGTTCAAACCATCCATAGCCTTGGATAGCTTGATTTTAAATAAATGTTTGCTAACTTAGTGGTAGAAACTGGGTTCTAATGTGGCTCTTTGATTACTGGCAAGGTTAAACATTTAATAATTGGCATTTCTTCTTCTGAAAACATGTTTATTCATATTGCTTTTCTTTATTAGAAATTTTATATTTGGAAGGCAGAGCAACAAAGAAGGACAGAGAAATGGAGAGAGGGAGAGCAAGAGAGACATCTTCTATCCTCTGGTTCACTCCCCAAATGGCCATGACAACCAGGTTTGGGCCACGGTGAAGCTGAGAGCCAGGAATATCATCCTGGTCTCTCACACAGGTGGCAGGAGCCCAAGCACTTGGACCATTTTCTGCTGCCTCCCAGGTGCATTTACAGGAAGCTGGATAGGAAGCAGAGCAGCCAGGACTCCAGCTGGCATTCTGAGATGGGATGCTGGCGTCACAAACAGTGACAGTCCACTGTGACACTATGCTGGCCCCTGTTTTTTTTTTTAAAAAAATCAAATAAGTTTATGTTTTCATGCCTGAAAGGCAGAGCAACAATGAGCAGGTAAGACAGAAGAGAGAGTTTTCATCCACTTACTCATTTCCCAGTCAGTGTCTCCAACAGCTGGTGCTGGGCCAGGCCAAAACCAGGAGCTGGGAAGTCTATCCAGGTCTCCCAGGTGAGTGGCAAGGCCTCCCTGGGCGCATGAGCAGGAAGCCGGATCGGATCGGTAGCTGTGGAGCTGGGACTCCAACCAGCTGGGTTCCCCAGTGTGAGGTGCAGGTGTCACAGGAGGAGGCTTAAGCTGCTGAACCACAGCAACTGCCCCTCCCCTTGGTCTTTGAAGGTCTTCATGTGTTTCTCCATGACCAGTGAAACTTATTGTCTGTGTTACAAGTTGTCAACACCTCCCTCCGCTTCTTTCTGACTTTTTACAATAGAACGATATTTTAAAAAGTTCTTGGGAAGTGAAATTAGAAGACAAATTTAAATATAATAAAAGATGAATATGTGGTGCAATGTTTTTGAAATCCATCCATATGAAAGATATTCAAAAATTCATGAAAAGTGTGTATTATTTAAAATGATATCAATAGTTTCTGTGCCAAAATAAACTTCCCTTTTTTTTAAGGGACATTTTATTCCAGGCCCCCTGACAAGGAGGATTCTTTTTTTAAAAAGTTTATTTGAAACAGGGATGGGGAGGGAGGGAAGGAAGGGGGGGGGGAGAGAGAGAGAGAGAGAGAGAGAGAGAGAGACCTCCTCTCTGCTGGCTCACTCCCCACATGCTGCTAACTACTGGGACTTGCCCCAGCTAGGAGCCAAGAACTCAAGAGAATTCAATCTGGGTCTCTGCCGTAGGTGGCAGGGACCCGAGTACTTGGGCCACCATGTGCTGCCTCCAGGCAGGGGTGCGCATTAGCAGGGAACCGAAATTGGGAGCTGAGATGGAACTTAAAAGCAGGACATGCCAATATTGGACATGCCATCCAAGAGGCATGTTAACCGCTATGCCGAACACCCAGCCCTCAAGTTGTCTTTTAATTCCACTTTCCCACGAGCCCTTTGAAGTGCCCTCCTATGCAGGAGCCAAGCAGCACTGGTGCTTGGAGCAGCGTTGTCTACTGAGCCATCCCCATCCTCAACCCTTCTGAAGGGGAACGACCCCAGGCTTTCAGAGGTGCCGCTCCCCCTACGCACCTCCACAGTCCAGGTATTTCTCCTGGGAAAAGTGGAGGCAGGAGTCCTCTGAAAACACAGTGACCTTCAGGGAGGGACAAAACTATGGCTTCCCCACCCAGAAACGCCTGTCCCGCTTTTCAGGGAAGCCTCCTCACCCCGTGGTCAGAGGGAGTCAGCCCCCTGCCAAGCACCTTCAAACCCCACAAATCATGCTGGCTGTCTGCCCTGGGCGGGGCGTCAGCAGCTGTCTCCAGCTTAGGCAGAAGCGCCATGCTTTGTAGGCACAGAGCGTGCTTTTTCCCCGGCAGCTGGAGCGTCTTCTGGGTGTTAGCATTCTATTAAGGATGGCAGGAGCCCGTGCGTGCGCTGGGGTTGGCAGGCACATTTCAGGAGCTTCGAGTTCAGTCCCCGTGTCCTCGCCAGGGGTAGCTCAGTCTCGAGCCCAGTGTTTGGTGACCCCAGCTGTACATCAGAATCCTCCAGGGAAGAATTCCAGTATGGAGAACTTATGCCTACAGATTTGGATGAATTGATGTGGTTTGGGGTCTGGGCATCGACATTTCCTGGAGTTCTCTGGATAATTCTCAGGTGTGGCCAGTGTTGAGAACCATTTTGAGGTGTTCCTTGGTCCTCTTTCTGGGGGAAGCAAGAGGTTGCAGGTGATCCTGAGAGAGGAGGCGACCGGGACGGAGCAGAGTCCTTGGGAGGAGAGAATGCCTCACCCTGAAGACCCCCTTGGCCAGAGCCATGCACGTGGGCAGGCAGACAGCACCTGGTAGAATGACGGGCGCTGGGCCGTGGAGAGGGGGGACAGCAGGAAATAACCAAGAAAGTGTTGGCTTCCTACTTGGAAAGAGCGGCTGGTTCTGCAGCCCCAGGCGAGTGAGAAGAAAGCACCTGGGGAGTGGTGGGGCAGGACCTGAGAGCAGAGCCTTCTCCACACTGCAGGTCCGGAGTGCAAGGCCGGCTCCTCCCCACTGCTAGCACCTAGGAGCTAGCTTGATGATGCTGCAGTCAATTTCAGCTGAAGCCTGAAGTAAGAAGCTCCTGGGCTAAAGCACCATTGCGGAAATTAATTGGGACCAGTGGGATGGTCCCTGAAGGGAGCTATGTAGACCAGGACACTGCAAAGCCCCAGAGGATGCTGGGACTGTTCCTGTGCTGTTCTGTGGAGGAAGGTGGGGGGAGGGGGAACAAGTGTGCACCCTAGGAGACGGCCAGGTCGCAGAAAGGAAACAATTGTGCTTGCAGGGCTGGGACTGGTTTGCCAGGGCAGGGGCACACCATAGGATGGGCCGGGGCCGGGGAGGCTGACGCTTTCTCCATGTCATTTGGCACTACGCTTGTCCAAAGATGGTAGCAGGACAGGTGGACTCTGAGTGGGTCCTTTTCTTCAGCTCCAGGGCAGTTCCAAAGATCTGCAGAGCCCTAGCTGGGCTGTCTTCTCCTGCCACTGAGTGCCTCCCCAGCAGGCAGTGACAGTGAGCTGCCGGATCCTGGAGGTGTGCATCAGACTAGCATCTGAGAATCACGCTTACTTCGAAGGATCCCAGAGAAGGCCCAGAATGCAATGCTGATGTGTTCTGAGCCCCTGAGATCTAGAATAAGTTTTTCACAAATCTCCATGCCCAGTTTCCACCTCTGGAACGATAGCATGAGGAGCTCCATAGCCCCGCTCCTAGGCAGCAATCATCATGGGTGAAAATTATGTGAAAAACCAACTGTTCTCTGCACATTGTCCTAAAATATCCGACAAATGGAGAGACGGTCAAGGGAATCTACTGGGTCTCAGTAAGAACACTGAGAATCTGCAACGCTGCAGCCAAGAGCCAGTCCCTGCCTCCACCCTCCCCAGCTCAGAGAATGACGCAAGCTCCAAGATGGGTGAAAGATGGCGAAGGAAACAGAGCCCCCTCTCCTTGGCCCCTGAGAGATGTGACGTCTCACTGGGAGGAGCAGACTGCCAGCATCGCTCACCACTGCCTCCCGCCCCTTCCCAGCTCCAGGCCGCTGAGACTAAATTCCTAGTGAGCGTAGCCAAGAGCCTGGAGGAATCCCTTCCTCCATCTAGACCCCCACTAGTGGGCCAGATGCTACAGCCAAGGCAGAGCAGGTAAGGCTATTGGTCCCTGCCCACCCTTGCCCAGCTTGCTCATGGGCAGAGTTCCATGCTGGGAGAGGCAAACCGAGAGGATCAGAGACCATGACCCTGCCCAGGACCCTGCTTTATCAGCGACTCCTGCTCTGCATCATTGAGAAAAAGTGGGCCCCTGTCTCCACCCTTAGCTCCACAGCACAGACACAGGGATTATGCCTAGTCAATCCATAAGAGCTTAGAGCTCCTAGGATCTCTGAAATAGAGTCTAATGTGTTAAAATGAATATGATAAGCCCTAGAGAAGCCAGTAAGAAAAAAACACTCAAAAAATGGAGTGAAAAAAATCATTAGGGGAATTTAAATGTTACAATAGAAAATACTCATTGAATGCAAAAGGAAGCATTAAAGGAGGAATAAGGGGACCAAAAAGACATGATACACACACAAATAAAAAGCCAAATGGCAAATGTACATCCTACCATATCAGTCATAACAGTACACTGGATAAAAATCAATATCCAACCTTATGCTGTCTATAGGAGACATTTAGATTCAATACAAACAGATTGAGAACAAAAGGGGGCCAGAGCTGTGGCATAACAGGTAAAGCTGCCACCTGCAGTACCGGCATCCCATAAGGGCACCGGTTTGAGTCCCAACTGCTCCACCTCCCACCCGGCTCTCTGCTATGGCCTGGGAAAAGCAGCGGAAGATGGCCCAAGTGCTGGGGTCCCTGCAACCACGTGGGAGACCGGAAGAAGCTCCCAGTTTTAGGATGCTCCTCCCCCATTTCCTAACCTGTGGTCCTTCCTCAGCCCTGTGCACCCCACCCCCTTGGGTCTCGCTGTTCCTAAGGCTGTCTCCCTTGCCACTCTCCCCCTTCCTGTCTGCAGCAAATCCTCCAGGGTCATGCAGGCAGAGCTGTTCTGAGTTGAACACATGGCGTGGGGGCTCTGGTTGCCCCTTCCGTGGCTCCTGAGCTCAAGCTCCACCCAAGAAATTCATCAAGGTATTTCTTAACAAAGGTAAATATCCACCCCAAGAAAGATCCCATAGTCACCTATTAAGGCACTAAAGAGTTGTTTTTTAAGAGACTAGTTTAATGAATTCCATGTAACCATCACCTGCAGTAGTAACAATGATCAAATTTTTGCCAATCTTATTTGCACCTGAGATAAATTCCTCTCGGTCACGTCTTATTTGGGGGTCTTTAAGTGAAAACTCAGACGCTTCTGTCTGAGCCAGGCGTGGGGCGGGTCCTTCTGAACGCCTGGAGCGAGGGAGAGGAATGGGCGCGAAGCCTCGGGGTTCCGGGCCAAGGCCGCCGCGGGGCGCGGGGCTAGAGCGCGGTGTCGGACCCGAGGTCCTGCGGCGCCCCCTCGCGGGCGTAGAACTCATCGATCACGGCCTGCGGGACGCGCTTCAGCATCTCCTTGGGGAAGATGCGCAGCAGCTTCCAGCCCAGGTCCAGCGACTCGAACACCGAGCGGTTCTCGTAGGCACCTGGAGACAGAGCGGCGACTGAGCCTCGCGGGTGGACGGAGAGGAAGTGCTCGCTGCCCCGCCCCCGCCAGCGCCGCCTCACCCTGGTTGATGAAGTTCTTCTCGAACTTGTGCAGGAATTCCAGGTAGAGCAGGTCCTCCGAGGTGAGCGCCTCCTCGCCCACCACGGCCTTCATGGCCTGCACGTCCTTGCCGATGGCGTAGCAGGCGTACTGCGGCAGGGACGGACGTGTCACCGCGGCCGGCCGGGAGAAGAGCCCGCCCTCGGGGCGGACCGGGCTCACTCCCTCAGTTTCCGAAACCTGAGTGGCGGGCAGTTTCCCCTGGCCCTGTCCTCCTTACCAGCTGGTTGGAGACGTCGCCATGGTCCTTCCTCGTCATGCCCTCGCCGATGGCGGACTTCATCAGCCGCGACAGAGAAGGGAGCACGTTGATGGGGGGGTAGATCTGGGGGAGCACAAGGCAGGGGCCGACGGCTGGGCGCAGGCTGACCCTCCCCGTCCACCCTGCCGCATCCCCTTCCCGTACCTCCCCAGGGGGGACTTGTCCTCCTTCATCCCTCAAAGAGGTCCGCGGCTGTGCCGCACGTCTTGGTCTCCTGCAGGCGCCCGGGTGTGCAGGCGTCTGCAGCTATGGCGGGCTACCCAGGACGATGGAGGCCGTGGCATTAATTACTGAGTGGCTCACTGCTTCACAACTTGGGAGTATTTGGACAAAAATCAGGTTGCACCTTAATAAATAGTTAATGGCCACAAAGAACGAACCCTCTGAGCCAACAGGGAAGAGTCCTCGGGGGGTAGCCTTTAACTACAGACGGAGCTGGCCCATTTTCCAACCTTTTGGCACATTATTCGCAACCTGCTTGCATCAGTTACCCACGGCTTTCTGCTCGCCAAGGCCAAGAAGCAGTGTTTATTTAGTCTACCATCTGCTGGCCAATTCAATGCTCCCGCATGCACCTGTGCCACAGCATCATTATTGCCACCCTGCATGACAGGAGCCCTAGGGTTTACCTGGGGGACTCCCTCCTAATTCGTGTGGTGGGACACGGTTCTTCACCGTCCCTGGGGGCTGGGAGCAGGAAGTGGCTGGGGAGGGAGCCGTACCTGTCGGTTATGAAGCTGTCTGTCCACATAGATCTGTCCCTCTGTGATGAAGCCGGTCAGGTCCGGGATGGGGTGGGTGATATCTACAAGTGAACCGCTGGCCTCAGGCTCCACCCACCCAGGCCCCTCCTGGGCTCTGCTCCCCCCACCCTAGGAGTTACAGCTGATGAGAGGCTACCGTCATTAGGCATGGTGAGGATGGGGATCTGAGTGATGGACCCGCCCCGGCCCTCCACGCGGCCTGCCCGCTCGTAGATGGTGGCCAGGTCTGTGTACATGTATCCCGGGAAGCCTCGGCGCCCAGGCACTTCCTCCCTGGCTGCTGAGACCTGCAACAGTGGTGCAATGAGAAAGGGGGCCAGAGGCTGAACAGAGGGAGGGTGAGAAGTGGAGGGGCAGTGACCGAAGGCATAGGCTCCGATAACCACGCAGGCCTGTGGTGGTGGGGGCTCCCCTCTATTTGCAGGTGAGCCCCTGGAGAAGCAGGGCTGACCTCAGCACCTCACCTCTCGCAAGGCCTCCGCGTAGGAACTCATGTCGGTCAGGATGACCAGCACGTGCTTCTCGCACTGGTAGGCCAGGAATTCTGCAGTGGTCAGTGCCAGGCGCGGGGTGATGATCCGCTCGATCCTGGAGGTAGGCACGGCCGGCTGGCGTTCAGAGAGTGCGGAGGCCCAAGCCCATGCCCCAAGACTGAGTGTCAGGTGAGCTGGGACGCTTGCTTGTGCACAGTGGCAGGGGAAGGACTAAGGCGAGTCCCAGCCTGAAGCCCCCAGGGCAGGGCCAGGGTTCCTGGGGCAGGCACTCTCCAGCAGAGCCAGATAACCCTTCACCTGCTGCCGGAGCTAGGAAGGGGCTGGGTGGGAGAGGGCCAGGGCTCGGACCAGCTGGGGGACCCTCATGTGTCCTCAGGATTGTCTGGGCACTCCCTGTCCCTCTCGCTGCCCCCGAGCCTGCTTAGTGCCAACCTGACAGCCCCCTTAAATTCTTGTCCCATGGCTCCCAGTACCCCGGGCCTGGCTCTGAACCTGGGCATTTGTCTCATGGTGATGTCATCAGGGCCTCTAGAGTTCTGCTGGTGTTTGGAGTATCCTGGATACCCAGGAGAGTTTATTAGAATTTTTTTTTCATATATCTGACCCCCAGCTTGAAAGTCCCAGTTTCTAAACCTTTGAAGACGCAGTTTCTCTAAATAACTGGGGTCTTCAGTGGGGCTCTGCGGAAGTGACAGAAATGAGGAGCCCTGAATTGGGATGGTGGCCAGGGCGGGTTGTGGGAATGGTAGAGGGGCTGCCCGGGGCACGCAGGGTCACGGTCCTGACCACGGTCTCTCGTGGGCTAGCCTGGTCCTTCGCATCCCTGGGTTCCCCAGCCCTGGCCTGTGACTGTCCTTCTGGGATGCCCAGGGGCCCTGGTACTGTGGGTCATGGTAGCGGCTGGGGCCTGCTGCCTGAGAGCAGTGTGGGCATCAGGGGAGGGCTCACGTGGGATCATTGGCCAAGTTCAGGAAGAGGCACACATTCCCCATGGTTCCGTTCTGCTCGAAGTCCGACTTGAAGAACCTAGCTGTTTCCATGTTCACCTGGACACACACGGCAGGGAGGGCTGCGGGTGGGGTCCTGGGGCCCGAGGGCGGCCTTGGCCGCTCTCCACTCTCAGGAAAGCCTTGTGCCCTGCCTGGTTAGCAGGCACCCCGTAGTCCCTGGGGTGACCCTAAGGCATGAGAGGGCCTCAACAGACCCCAGAGAGGTTCAGACTTCCTCAGGTCAGCTGCTGCACTGCCCATCTCCCCTCCCCCACTTGGGCCCTCCAGCACCCCCTTCCCGAAGTCTTTTTGCCTCCCCAAGCTCCCTGGCTGCCCTTCCTCCAGGCCGCCCTGGGCCTGCCTCCAGGACACCCTCAATAGGGACATCAATATCAGGAGACACACTGTCCTGGTCACTGAGCACACCTTACCCCCTCAGGCCCACCCTCGCCTCTCCCACCCGATAAGCCTAGACTCTGATGGCTTCTTAACAAGGCTTATGGGGGCTGGTGCTGTGGTCTAACAGGTTAAGCTGCTGCCTGCAATGCCAGCATCCTGTGGGCACCGGTTCAATTCCTAGCTGCTCTACTTCCCCCAGCTCTCTGCTGATGCACCTGGGAAAGCAGAAGATGGCCCAAGTGTTTGGGCCCCTGCACCCACATGGAAGACCTGGAAGAAGCTCCTGGCTCCTGGCTTCAGCCTGGCCCAGCCCCAGCCATTGCGGCCATTTGACAAGTGAACCAGTAGATAGAAGCGCTCTCTCTCTCTCTCTCTCTCTGTACACCTCCCTCATCTCTGTAACTCTGTCTTTCAAATAAATAAAATAGAATAGAATAAAGGCTTGTTCAAATAAATAAAATAAATACATTTTAAAAAAGAGAAGGCTTGTGCCTCTCCCATCGGATCAGACTGTGTCAGCAGCCAGAGGAGGGAGGGCTGCCTGCTCACAGCTCCTGGAACTGGCTGTCTGGCCCTTCCCTCCTTACCCCCATGGCTGCAAAGACGATGGCGAAGTTGTCGTCGTGGTAATCCAGCACGGCCTTGGACTTCTTCACCAGCCCCGCCTGGCGGCAGATCTGGGCAGCAATCTGGGTTAGGAAGGGGAGGTCAGAACCAGAGCACAGTGCCTGCCTGTGGACAGCACTGACTGAGGGCGTGATGGAACCATGGCCACCCATGTCCCTGCCAGGGGAGCCCAGACAGAGAGGTGAGGCCCCAACTGCTCCAGTCCTTTGTCGCTGTGAGTGCAGTTTCCTGTCCGTGCTCAGGGCAGAGCGTGGTCCAGGGCAGCTGGGCCTTCAGAGAGCCTCCTCACCTCTGCACAGTCACCTGCGGGTCACTTGGGCACAGTGTTTCCCACCTGGCACCAAACCAGGACGTGGGTGCGTGGCCGGGGCCAGGGAAGAGTGGGGACCCTCCTGGCCTCCGACCACTCAGGCCATTTTGAGGGAGAGCTGAGGCCATCCACGAGTAGTCGGGAAGAACACCTGGGACCCTTGTCACACCAGCTGCTCTGAGGACCCAGACCGTTCCTTCTTGGCAGGGCATGGACAGGTGTGGTTAGCAAGGACCAACATGGGACCAGGGCCTAGATGCTACTGAATGGGACTTGGAATGCTGGGGGTGCCCCAGGGGCTCCTGTGAGCCCATAAACACCCCAGTGGCTCCTGGCAGCTTGAAAAGCTATTCAGGTGCAGTGCTTGGACATGGAGGAGGCCTTATATGGCCTGGGACCACAGCCGGTCTGCATGGCGGTGAGCCCGCTGGGCCAGCCCCTGCCTGCTTGGCACAGACGCCCTCCGCGTTGGCCTAGCACAGCCTGGCCTCCGCACGCCCCTGTCGCTCACCTCGTTGTGGGGGAGCCCAGCTGCTGAGAAGATGGGGATCTTCTGGCCCCGGGCAATGCTGTTCATGACATCGATGGGAGAGATGCCGGTCTGGATCATCTCCTCGGGGTAGATGCGGTCATGGGGGTTGATGGGCTGGCCTGGGGGCAGAGGGGGTGGGTTCAAGCCCATCCCTGCCCTCCCCACCTCTGGCCCAGACTCCAGAGCAGCTCGGGTTAGCATGACTTTCTGCGATGATGCAAATGTGTTCTGGCTACTGAGCACGGGAGATGTGGTTTTGAAGTGCAATTTTCCTTTCGCTGGAATTTGACTATGTTTAAACAGCCACAGGCCTGAGCTACGTTGGACAGTGCTGCCCTAGTGGAAGGGGCAGGAAGGTGGGCAGTCAGGCTAAGGCCCGCTGTGACCAGGGCAGAGCCCTCCCACTGGTGTTCGTGTGGGGCTCAAGAGCTGCCTGAGCTGGTGGATGTGCTGCGCCTCTCTGTCCTCAGGAAGACTGGCCTGGGTGGGAGAATGTGGGCGGGAGCGGGGCGGGGGGCGTATCTGCGGCATGCAACCCCAGTCCAGCTTGTGGCGCCAGGGCAGGGAACACTCAAAGGCAGGAGAGGGGTGGCTTTGGGCCGCGCACGGACGCCGTGCAAGGCAGGGGGCATTTACAAGGGTGGCACGACCAGTGCCAATGGCGGTATTCAAATTTGGTGGCAGCTTTGCAGACAGAGAGGCCCGAGAGGCTATGTGGCCACTGGAGGACCCCTGGGCAGTCACTCTAGCCTGTTCCTGGACAGGGCTCCCAAGGGCAGCACAGTGTGGGTGGGGAAGGAGGTAGGGGGCTGGGTCCTGGGAGTCGTCCACAGCCTCTGGTCACTCACCATTGATATCCAGAAAGTCCTCGGCCATGACCACTGGCCCCCTGTCAATGGGCTTGCCGGAGCCATTGAAAATCCGACCTGGAGGGGGGATGAGAACTATCAGGGGATGCTGCAGGCCAGCCCTGTGGCCCTTGCCTCCGCTCACCTGCTGGGTACCCTATACCATGGCTGCCATGGCCAGCCCCCTGGGAGTCATCCTGCCTCCCCAGAAGACCTTACAGGCCCGGCCTTGGCCCAGGGCACTGACTGTAACGTGGGGATCCTGGGGCAGGAAAGGGGGAGGGCGGGGCTGGGCCATGGCAGAGATGAGGGGTGTGCAGGGCTGAGCAGTGTTCTTCACCTGACCCCAAATTGGTGGCTTCCTACTGGGGCTCTAGTTCACTGAGGCTGCCTCTCTCAGTCACGGAGCCCTGGCTCTAAGTTAGGGACAGAGCAGGGGTCCAGGATCCCTGAGAGAAGGCAGTCTCCTGACCTCAGGGCTCACAGGGGAGACAGAGGAGCAGGGAGCCAGGCAAGGCCCACACGGTGGCCGGACACACCGGCTTGGGTGCCCCTGCCCGGGGCCTCGCCCCGCCTCACCCAGCATGTCCTCCGACACTGGCATGCGCAGGATGTCCCCCGTGAACTCGCACGAGGTCTTCTGGGCATCGATGCCAGAGGTGCCTTCAAACACCTGTGGGGACAAGAGGCGGTCACACTCAGGAGCGGCTCTCTTGTTCAGGCGCTCCTGTGTGCCCCGCTCCTAGGGTGAGGTGCTCCTAGGGGAGGGAATAGCACGCTTCCTGTCCTCAGAGCTTGGAGGTAGGACTTGGTGGCTGCCTCCATGCCCTCTCCCAGCCAACACATCACTGCCCCCACTTACCTGCACGATGGCCTTGGTCCCAGCCACTTCGAGCACTTGCCCACTCCTTCGAGTCCCATCGGGGAGGGTGAAGTTGACGATCTCAGCATACTGGGCAAACTGGCAGGCAGGGAGAGCGGCCCAGAGCGACAGTGAGGCCGTGTCCCCCTCCCTCCTGGATCTGCTGCAAGCCGCTCTGTGCCCAGGGACGTCCTGGAGATGAGCCCAAGGGGCTGGGACGGGGACTTCTGTTTGGGAGGCAGTCTGTGGGTGGTTAGGAGCACTGACACTAGAGTGGAAGACCAGGAGAGAATGGAAGCCCTGAGTCCTAACAGCTGTGTGGCCTTGTGGGCACCACGTAGTGACGTAAGCAGCTCCACGACTGAATGCATTAACTGAGCCTGTTTTTTTCATCCTTTTTTTTTTTTTAAGATTTATTTTATTTGAAAGGCAGAGTTACAGAGAGACAGAGATTCACTCTCCTAATGGCTGCAATGGCAGGGGTTAGGACAGGTTGAAGCCAGGAGCCAGGAGCTTCTTTTGGGTCTTCCACGTGGGTGCAGGGGCCATCCTCCACTGCTTTCCAAGGTGCATTAGCAGAGAGTTGGATCGGAAATGGAGCAGTAGGGACTTGAACTGGAGCCCATGTAGGATACTAGCCCTGTAGGTGACTTAACCCATTAAGCCACAGTGCCAGCCCTTGTCTGTTAATCTTTAAAATGGGATAATAATGATTAATACCTAATTCACAGGGCTGCCATGGGCAGGATATGAGATAATATCTATAAATCCACCAGCACGGTGCACAGCACCCTGTGAAAGCGCAAGGGAAGGAGCTTTCACCATTGCTGTCCTGGTCCCCTGGAAGGCGCCGCAGCGCCTGCCCTGTGGACTACTGGTAAACCCCGGCTAAGTGCTTTCCTCTACTCAGGCCCCAGGAGGCGCCCACGTGTACCCGCGGCAGTCTTCCTAATCGTGACGCAGGGATTCAGTCACGTGCAGCACTTGAGGAACAAGAAAGTCAGGCTAACATCCAGAATGCATAAAGAACTCCAAAGGATCTGAACAGACATTCTCTAAAGAAGACTCACAAATGGCCAATAAGCACCCAGTATCATCAGTCATCAGGGAAATGCAAATCGAAACCACAAGGCAGGGCCTGTGCTGTGGCATAGTGGGCTAAGCTTCTGCCTGGGGCGCCAACATCCCATATGGGCACTGATTCAAGTCTCAGATGCTCCACTTCCAATCCTGCTCTCTGCTGTGGCCTGGGAAAGCAGTAGAAGATGTCCCAAGTCCTTGGCCCCTGCACCTGTGTGCAAGACCCGGAAGAAGCTCCTGGCTCCTGGCTCCAGATCTGCCCAGCTCCAGCTGTTGCAGCCATTTGGGTCGTGAACTAATGGATGGAAGAACTCCCTCTCCCTCTCTTCCTCCCTCTCTCTCTCTCTCTCTCTCTCTCTGTAACTCTGCCTCTCAAGTAAATAAATAAATCTTAAAAACAAGCAAATAAACAAAACAAAACAAACCACAAGGCAATACCACTTCACGCCTACTAGGATGGCCATAACCAGAAAGGGGCCAGCGTTGCGGCACAGCGGGTAAAGCCACCACTTACCAGGCCAGCATCCCATATTCGAGTGCCAGTCCAAGTCCTGGCTATTCCATTCTGTTTGAGCTAAATCATTAACAAAAAGTATTTAAGAAAACTGCACACATTGGGAAATAAAAGCATTCTGTGCATAGAACTTATGATCAGCATGAGAAATCACGCAGTAATTCTATTTTAACATACATGTGATGCAGTTAAAACTTTGAAAATGTTGAAGAAGCTTAAAAGCATGCAAACTGAGAAGTCAGAAAAAAATAACATTAAAGCCTCAAAGAAGTGGAAGAAATGAGAGAAGACATTGTTACAGCAGAAAATAAATCCATATTAAGAAGATCAACAAAGATATATTGGTTCTTTGAAAAGCCTCATAAAATAAATAAGCAATATTAAGAAAAAAGAAAAGGCATAAATAAATGTTAGAATAAAAAAGTCACAAGTAGACATGCTGAAGATAAAAGGAATTGTGAACAACTTAATGCAACATATTTGACAACTGAAATGAAATGAGTGAAGTCCTAAAAAAATATAATTTAAACCAAAACCAACTAAAAATGAAGTAGGAAGCCAGCATAATCCTATAGTCTTTAAGATACTGAACAAATAGTTTACAGGCTTCTCATGAAGAAAACACCGGTTCCCACTAGTTCTAGCAGTAAATTCTAACAAATCAAGGAAGAAATATTTTGAAGCTTACTTAAACTTTTCAAAAGCCTGGAAAAAAAAGATTCTGTATTTAACTTATGAGGAAAGCATAACCTTGATATGAAAAGAAAATAATTATGGAAAAATTGTAGGTGATCTCACTCCTGAATATGGATGCAAAAATCCTAAGCAAAATAGTAGGAAAACAGATCCAGCAGTGTGCAAAACAGACCAAGTCACAAACTGGAAAAATAAAGACCAGAAAAAACAAAAACATGCATGCACACACATGGAGAATAAAGATGACCAAGTTGGGAATATCCCAGGAATGTGAGGTTAATCTAAAATTAGAAATTCTAATGTAATTCACCCTTTTAATGGGTTGAAAAAGAAAGCAAACTATGATCATCTCAAAAAGTTGGGGGAAATTTTTTTCTCAATTACACGTGATTAAAAGAAAAAAATAAAACTATTCTTTGAAAACAGGGAATACAAGGGAAATTTCTTAACCCTAAAAAGAGTATTCTTTTAAAAAACCTACAGAAAATAGTATCTTCGATAATATGATGCATAAAGTACTCCCTTTAAAATTGGGAGCAAAACAACACCTGCTCGTATTCGATTTAGCACTGCACTGGAGAAAGTATCCAAAATAATAGGAACAGAAAACTTGAAGAATAAACATTATGAGGAAACAAACTGTCAGGTGGAAAGCTTTGCAGGCACCCATTCCAGTGGACACAGTACTGGAAAGAATCCACACCAACTTCTCTCATTAATATAGACACAGAAATTCTAGATAAACTATTAGTCTGGTCAAGCAGTGTGTTACATGGATGAACCAGTGTGACCAAGTGGGATTCATTACACAAGTGCAAGGCTACTGCAGTCAACATTAGAGAATTTGCCATCGTTTTTCAGTGTAATTCAAAATAGCAGGGAGTTTGTCCACGTACATGAGAAACGTGTTATACAGCCATATGGCAGACACATGGGTCTGTGGGACAGACTAGAGAATCCAGAAACAGATCCCAGATTTGATAGGATTATTATGAAACAAATGTGGCATACCAGTTCACGGCAGGAAAAGGATGGTTGAACAAATGCCACTGACATGACTGGGTATCTAGTGAGAAGGCACTCACATATTATAAGCCAAAAAAACACATTCCAGGCCTGTGCAAATTTAAACAGAAAGCCAAGACTTTTTTTTTTTTTTAAATACTGGATGAGCTCTCTTCCTCAATAGCTCAGTTAGGCATAAGTCTGTTGAGAAATGCCCTTAAAGCAGTGTAAGACATTCAGCACAAAATATAGGGATATTTGATTATGTAAACATTTTGGCAGAGACACCAAAAAAAGAAGACAGCAGGTAACAGGTAAACCAAGAGCTTGCCCGCGAGAGGTTGCACAGCCGCACGTGGAGGACGAGTTCAGCTGACACAGAGCTAGACACTGGCTTCCCTCGTCCCCAGGGGGCTGTGGTAACAGCCACACAGCACCAGCCTTTATCTGCTGGGTAAGCAACATCACAGGAAAGGCAGGGCGGCCAAGGGTGCCAGGCAGTGGCTCCCAACGCTTGTGTACGTGGTGGGTGGGAGGAGGAATTATCGCTGTTCCCCAAGCTGACAATATCCACTTATCAACAAAAATTCTCAGAACCAGCAACCCCACTTCTGGCGTTCTATCCGTATAAGAGGGACGGATCTACCTGCACGGTGTGTGACAGGCATGGCCACTGGCAAGGGTGGGGCTGCTGAATGAGTCACAGTCCACGCAGGCTGCAGGCTGCCGGGAGTCGTGAGTGCCCTGTGGCTTTGCGGCCGCCCAGGGCATCCTTGATACTAAAGGCCAGCACCCCTGCCGGGCTCTGAGCGTGTGTCCGCCTGTGTGGGAGCAGGGCCTCCTTATCTCGGGCTGCTGGGAGAGAAGCAGGCAGGGGCAGCCGGGCCACTCTGGGTCTTGTCTTCGCTTCACTATAAGCTGTGTGTATATTGCTGTGTAATTAAAATGGAATAAAACTCGGGCACAGGCTCCAGGGCAGCTGGCCTTCGTTACTATCTGTATACCCTCTGCAGGCCACAGACGAGTGCCCTTCAGGGAGGGCGGATGGCTGGATTCCCTAAACACTGTGGCCAGGAGAGGGACCAGTCCCTCAGGGCACCCCTGCTTGGGTTGCGTTGGAGGCGCCACGGGTTGTAGCTCTGGCAGTCACTGAAGGAAGCTCTGGTTTTGGGCCCCTCCCTGTCCTGTGAAGAGGACGTCAGAAAGCGGATCCTAATGCTCCCCCAGGCTTTGCGGAGTGGGGGCCCCCAACCGGAGGGGGCCCCAAGAGGAAAGCTCCGAGGTCGCAGGTGCTGCTAATGCCCAGCCGACCCAGGCTCTAGACCACGAGAGGGCGCCCGCGAGCAAGGATCCCGGGTGCCTGGGACCTGAGTTCCATGAGCCCTGGCGCCTTCTCCACTCCCTGTGGTCCGCGTCTCCATGCGCGTTCTCATCGTTTGTCACCTTTCTGCTAGAGTTAGCGGGAGAATTACTAGCCAAAGTGGACCCCAAATAAATCAGACGCTTGGCCCAAGAAAAAACAGGAGGGTTCCAGGGTGCAACAGTGAGGGAGCTCACGCTCCAAGGCGCCCTGCTCCCCTGCTGCCTACAGCCACACACTGAGCAAACCGGCTCCTTCAGCCTCGCTGTTGGCTACTAAGAGGATTGCTGGGAGTGGGGATGATTCCATGCAGCCCCACCCCCCAGAGATTCAGCTGCGTTCCCAACAAGCGGGGCGGGGGGGGGGGGGGCAGGCCCGAGGGAGGACCTGGGAAATCCTAGACAAGTGCTCACCTCCACGGCCTCTCAGCTGACCACGCCCAAGGCGGCGTGAGAATTGCTCTTTGGCAATTGTCTTCAGGTGCAGCCATAGACATTCGGGATCAGACTAATGGGTAAGGCAAGTGCTTATGCTAGTCTCAAATGAGGGCCGACGCGGATCAGGGGAGATGGGAGTTGGAAGCTCCTCCTGAGCAGAGGTCCCCAGACCAGCCGCGTCGGCACCACCTGCGCACTTGTTAGAAACACAGACCGCTGCTCCAGTAAGTCCTCCTATTGCTTGCAGTGTTTGCGTGGGGGGTTGAGAGTGGGTATGGGCCAGTGTGTGAGCTTTCGAGGGAGCGCGTGAAGGCGCATGAGGATGCGTGTGCTTTGGGGAGATCAGGGCTGGAGGTGTAGGCATTTGTGATCTCAGAGAGTTAGTTCTGTGCTCTGCGGGTCAGAGATTTAACCTTATCTGTGTCACAGACTCTGGAAAAATCAGATGAGTCGTGGAAACTCTCCCCAGAAAAATACACAGGCACTTGTTTGCGTACAATTTAAAGGGCCTTGTTCCATGGGCTAAGAACCTCTGATCACACAAGATTCTTCACAGAATGTTTTTCTTTTTGAGGATGAAAGCAGAGTAATTGCCTGAGTGACTCAGTATGGGCAGGAGGTGGCGCTGTAGAGACAGAGCTGCGGAAGAGTCTGGAAGAGGAAGAGGGTGTGTGGCGGTGGAGCGCGCTCAAGGGATGCTGTCTTCTCCTGGACTTATGAGACTACAGCACCAAGTCCTTCCCTCCCTCAGCGAGCCCAGGTGCCCTGGGTGTCCCCACCACCCTGTTAGCTTGCTCTGCCAGAGTTTCAGATGCATCCAGTAGTCCTAGAAGTGTAGGGCTGGACCTGGTTCTCGATTCCTGGTCCACCAGGTGTTTCAGTTGAGGGAACAGACACCTGTGCAGGTACTGACCAGCCTTACCATACTGGGTCCTATACAGGCCGACAGGTACAGCGGAGGATGATGGGCGAGGTGAGGGGCGGTGATGGCACACGTGTTTGATCAGGCTTATTAGCATGGCTACATTCCAAGCAGAGTTAGTGCTGGCTGTTACGTGGTTTGATGCTCACAACCCTATATCATTTAGTAGATGAGGAAACTGGGATTTGGAGTCCTACAGAGATGGTTTTCAAACATCTGTGTGTGTGTGTGGGGGGGGCATCAGACCATCTCTGAGCTGTGTCCCAGCTCCCTGTCAATCCTGTCTCAACAGTATCTACACTACCTGGGAACTCCTTAGAAACACAAAGGACAGGATCTGACACTCTGAGACTGGGGTGCAGAATCTGTGCTCACAAGCCCCATCCCACAGTGGGATGGAGCTCAACAGGCCCAAGTCATCAGACTCCCCAATCACCCAAGTACTGAGCCACGTGAAGGTGTCAGGCAGCTGGGTCCGGTGAATTGGGATTCATTTTCTAACCATGAGTGCGGCTGAATTCTGTACCATTCAGTCTTGCATTCTTAACCACGGACACGGGTTCCGTGTGCTGCATCATCACTGCAGGAATCCATGTCGTGCACACTCGGCCAGCTTGGACCTCCCTGGCTGGGACAGCCTTACAGGACGAGGTCGCCACTGGCCTGGCGACAGTCCTGCGGCGCACAGTAGGGGTTGGCTTGGTTTGGAGAGGTCCATATGTAGTCATGGTGACCTTCATTCATTTGATGCAGGTGGGCAGGGAGCTGGGGCGCAGTAAGGAGCTGAGGACTGCCCACACCTGAGTCTCGGGCGCCACCCAAACCCCCTCAGCTGCCCTGCACACTCACTGCCCACCACGCTCCAGTCGTGTACCAGGCACCGTGATACCACCTGCGGGCCCTGCAGCCCACCCCAAACCTGCCTCCTTTGAATCTCCAATCGGGCCCCGCCCCAGGCCCCGCCCCTCATCCTATAATTAGGCGACTGCAGCCTGCACGGGGCAAGTCTCCCTCAAGGGGTTCCCCGCACTGACGTCCAGTAATGTGATAACTCCTGCTTGTCTGCTCACTCCTGTTTCCACCTCCTGGTTGCATCCCTACACTGGGGAAGACCAGAACCTGGGCTGAGTCTAGCCAGGGGCCTCCCAGAGCCCAGCTTGGGGTCCTGATCGCACCCTGAAATCACATTCAGCCCACTCATTGACTCAGCCTTCCTTCAGACAAATCCGTATTGAGCACCTGCTATAGCCTGGGTGCGCTATGAAAGGGCTGCGCTGAGCTCCCAGAGCTAAGGATGAACTAAGCCAGCGCAAACCCCCCAGGGGGCCCAGGAGCTGCTGCCAAGAGGCAGGAGAGGGCAAGGCAGCCTGGTGAGCTCTCAGCCTTGGGGCTGAGTCAGAGGGAGGCTGTGGGCAGCTCTAAGGGAATTAGAAGCAGGGGATGGAGCAGTGGGGGTCGGAACAGCAGCAGGGTAGAGAGCGGAGGGAGGGTCCCAGGCTGGGGGCCCACAGGCCATGGTCATTGACAGTGTGGCAGAGAGCTGGCACCAGCAGAATGAGGTTCAGGGCAGGTGGAGAGGCCGCTGGGGGCTGGAAGTGCTTGGTGAGGGGAGGACTGAGGAGTGACCGTCCCAGGACTCTTTCTGACTCAGCAATCCCAGCCCCAGACTGAAACGCATCAGCATCTGCCCTGCTCCTCCCCTGCCCACACATACACCCCCGCCCCCGCTCCTGACACCCCACAGCTCTGCAGACCATCACCTCCCAAGAAACCTCGGCTGGGACGCACCAGCTGCCTCCCACACTTCCGCTTTAAAAGAAGACCCCGTGAGGGTTGCAGGTGGGGAAACGGGGTCGCACTGGGGCCTGATGTGGATCTGCCAGCTGCTTAGTGGTGCAAGCCCAAGGCCCAGAGAGGGGTCTCGCTGTTGTCTTTAGGGCCCCCATGAGAAAGCAGGAAGGGGGATCCTTGAGTGGCTAGGAAACAGCTCAGGCAGAAGGTGGGAGTGGGGGGCTAGGGGTCAGAACGGCACAGCCCACCCCCAATTAGGGGAAGGGCAATTTAGAGGAAATCCTTGGAGGGGGAGGGGGCTGGGATTAGCCTTGGAGCAGGAAGAGGCAGCAGTCTTACCTTGACCTGGTCCAGCACCACCAGGGGCCCATTGACGCTGCACACCGTCCTGTAGGCTGGGGGAGGGGCAGGGGGTGGGTGAGGATCTGACACCCAGACACCCCCGAAACACACACACAGAGGCATCCTCTGCTTTCCCTCCCTCTCTGCAGCCACCCCTCCTCCCCAGTCTGGGCCATCAGGGTCATTAGCTGTGACAGGGCCAGCCACCATTGCTGTAAGGGTCATGCCCCTGCCCGCGGGGCCCCCCGCTGCCTTGGACACCTGCAGGAGGCTGGGGGAGGGCAGAGGCCTCCGCAGTCCTTCCCGGCCCTGCGGGGGTCTTTCTCATCCCTGGGGCTGCTTCCCCCTTGGCCTCCACCCCCAACTCCAAACATTTTCCAAAGGCTTCTGATCCCCAGCTGCGGCCCCTCCCCGGGGCCACACTTCCCTCCGCTCACCCCGTACTGATTGAGTGTGTGTGTGTGTGTGTGTGTGTGTGTGTAGGAGGGTTGCAGAAAAACGGAACAGGGCCTCTGCTCTCATCATAAGACCCTGGGGAGCCCCGCCAGGGAGGCTCCTGGCTCCCGGGGTGCACGGTGGGGACAGGAGAGGAAGGCAGAAGAAGTGGGGTATCTGGAGACACAGTGCCTGGATAACAGAAAAGGAGCTCAGGGCAGGGTTGACTGGGAAATCAGCAAACACCTTCTAATCCCCTGGCCGGGCTCTGACTCTGATGGGCGCGGTGCGGCCATCGGGCAGCCAGGAAACCTTGCTGGGGTTCTGCTCGGGGGCCCCTGCGATCCCAGCGCCCTTCCCCAGTGCACTTGTGTGGCCCTCAAGACACAATTGAGATGTAGGAACTTGGCAAAGCAGGACGCCCTCCGTGCAGTGAGGTTGCTGGGTCACTCGCAGGCTGGGGGACCTCAGCGGGGCCAGCGATCCAAACCCTCCCAGTGAGGAGAACTGGGTGCAATTGGGTGAAAAGCCTGGCCAGGGCCCCATAGTGTGTCTGCGGCTGGGGCTACTTCTGGATGAGCCTGGCCCTGAGCCACGCACACCAGAGGGAGACCAAAGCCCCCGCCCCTCCCGTCGCAGTCTGCGCGTGCGCTGTCACATCCTGATTTCTGCTTTGAGCAGGGTGGTTCCTGCACAGATCTTGGCGAGGACCGTTCGGAAACTGGAGGCAAGGGAGAGAAGGGAAGCCCTAGTTGGGCTCCGGCCAGAGCCGCAGAGCGTGCCTTCCAGCTACCCGCAGAGCCTCTGGCCCTGGACGCCGCCTCTCCTTCCTCCCCATTCCCACGGAGAAGGCGTCCTCCCTTCAGTCTTAGGCCTGTCCCAGCCCTGTCCCAAGACCCTAAAGATGACCCCCTGGGGCCAAGGGCCAGCTCTTCCCTGCAGCCAGTGTTGGGGTCTCCTTCTGCCCCAGCCCTCTGGCTCCTGCTCCCTGCCCCACTTCCTCCCTCTCCTCAGCCCCTTCCATTCTGGCTTTGATCCCCTAGTGTCAAGTGGAACTCTCCAGGCACATGGGCTAGAGGTGGGCAGCCCAGATGAGAAGGGGCTTGCTTGGTGCTGTCGGAGAACAGAGCCGAGAGCTCAGCCCCGGCTCAGCCCGCAGGGAGTCGACGGCCCTGTTCGCCGCTGCCCCTCACTGCCGGGTGGAAGGGAGATGCTCGGTGAAGATTTGCTGGAGGGACCGTGGGAGCCACTAACTGGCCCCTCTTCTCCTTCCTGTGTCTCCACATCAGAACCGATATGTGCCCCTCCGCCGCCTCCCGGCTCACAAGCCTAAGCTGGGCTGTTGCCCAGCCTGGGGCAAAGGAGATGGGAAGAGATGCCCTGGCTCAAGGGACAGCAGGCATCCAGACACCCCCACCACACACACACAAGGAGGAAGGTGGGGACTGAGGCTGGGGTGTCACCCTCCCCGCCAAGAACAAGTCACCAAATGCCATGCGAGTCCCTTCCCGCCCACACGGTGTTTTGGTGACATTCTCTGGGTTACCGGTCCATGTGGTACCAGCAGAGCAGAGCAGAGGGAGCTGAGGGGTGGCACCGGCTGGGGAAGGTGCAGGAGGATGGCAGAGGTCCTCCTTTGTGAAAGCCCTGGGGAGAGCCGGCAGCTTGCTGCCCCCAGAGAAAGTCCCAGAGCGGCCAGAAAGGCTGAGCCCGGTAGGGCACTGAAGAGATGGGGGGGAGGGGGGGCGAAGTAGGGAGCTGGGTGTGTGGAAGGGGAAGAGGCCAGAGCCCTCGGGGGTCAGGTCCAGCTGCACAGCCTGGGGACACCTTTGCACTTCCTCCCTTGGGTCACTGCTGGCACCCCCCCACCTTCCCAGCCTCTTCCTGACAGCCTGCACTTCTAGCTGGGGGTGGAGGACTGGGGGCCTGGGGGCCAGGCACATTACCCCCTGGGACAAGAAGGGGCTGCCCTGGAGGAGACCAGGGACCACCGCAATGTGTTTGCTGCCCCAGGCGCCTGCATGGCCAGCTTCTCTGACCCACTCTGGGGGCAGCCAAGGGAGCTGGGTGCTGCCCCCCAGCCAAGGCCACAGGTGACCAGCCCAGGGCTGTCAGTCTCCTGTTGTAATGCATCAGCCTCCTCTGTATCACCTCCCAGGCACCCAGCAGCCAGTGCCCAGCTCCAGGGGGCTTTCCCACATCCTGGCCCCTTCCATGCGGCTCATGCACTTAGCTGACTGCGTCGGTTCAGTTCAGGACTGCTTGCCCCCTTCAAGGCCTTGCCCTCCGCTGACTCCTGCAGCCCACCTGTCCCCCCCTGCTGAAGCCCCACAGCAGGCGGACACCCTTGAGGCACAGGGTCTCCCCCCTCCGATGAGGAGTGCCTCCCCTGTCACACTGGACCTGATGTTTTCTCAGAAGCTGCATGGTTCGGCCACAGCCAAAGTAGTGGCAGAACCACGCAGGTGTCCTTGTCTGGAAGCCTAGCCCTGCCCTGCCTGTGTCTATTGCACAGAGAGGCAAACTGAGGCCCAGAAAGTTGGCTGATTTCCCAATTCAGGGCGGGAACTGTGGCACATCAGGGACTCCGGCCACTGGCTAGCCCCGGGGGGTGCACCCCTTGACCCTGGAGGAGGGGGCCCGGTGCTGCAGGCAGAGGGCTGGATCAGAGGACCCGAGGGGCACTGTGTCAGTGGCCTGCCGGGACTCACACACTCCCTCCAGCTGCTCTGCCCACCCCCTCTCCATTGTCCTAGCTGACACTTTGGGTTGCACTTTGGACTGCAGGCTGGTGGCGGCTTCCCCACCCCCACCTCCCCACTGCCTGCCCTGTCAAAGGCCCAGCAGGGCTCCCGGGAGGCCCACTAATTAGCGCCGGCCCAGCCACACCTGCAGCGTCCTGGGAGAGGGCTGAGACAGGCGCCCATGCGTGAGGCCAGGGTTGGGGCAAGCCCGGGGCAGCAGGTCCCGCACCTCCTCCCTGATCCCGCTGGAGGGATTAGGGGAGGGAGGGCAGGGGCTGGAGTTCTTAGAATTGGTTGGTTGGGACTCTCAGTGGGCCTCTCTCCTCTTTCAGGAAACTGATTGGGGGCAGGTGGCCAAGTCCGTGGCTTGGCACTCAAGCCCCTGGGTGATCTGACCTGGCTCCATCCTTCCAACTGAGTGGCCAGCTTGTCCTTCCTAACCCCTGCTCCTGCTGGCCCCCCCAGCCCAGCCCAGCCTCTTCTGCTGCCATAGCCCCAAGGCTTCCCATCACCAGCTCCCCAGCCAGGAACCAATGCCCTTGGGGAAAAACCCCAGCTCCATGGGAGGTGAAGAGGACCCTCCTCCTCCAGGATGGGCATGGCCAGGGTTCACCCCACCTTGATTTCCCCTGCCCCCTTTTGGGCTGATTCTGCCTCTGTGCTGCAATCCCCTTAATGCCTCAGTGGTGTGGAGGGAGAAGGGGGAAGCTTCTCAGGGTGCTTGCTTTGCCCCCCCCCCCCCAGCTCTCCACCAGGCTCTGGGAGTGCTTAGAGTCCCAAGATAGAGGCCCGGGTATGCAGGGGTCAGGGAGGCAGAGAGGGACAAGGCAATCCTTCCTGGAGCCCAGCCCCCCAGCTGGGAGGTATGGAGGCTGTGTCCAGGGGTCAGCCTCTGGATACGTCCACAGGAGGAGCAAAGCCCCTCTGGCTGTGGTCAGCTGTTGGGTTTGCAGGGATCGGGCCACAGGAACCAGCATCATGACGGGCTTGCACGGCACCCATGGCCCCCGCTCACTCCTGGGTTCCAGCAAGGGTGTTGACAGTAAATAAGGGCCATCTGGGAAGGAACTGGCCGGACACTGCTCCAAGCCTGGGCAGGCCTGCTGGAGGAGGAAGTGGTGGGGTGAGGTTGTACCTGCAGGGTCTCTGGGAGGGCACATTCCTGGAGGACAGTGGAGCAAGTCAGTCCAGGCCCCACCCCCCACTTAGCTCCCCTCAAGTTCTGTGTCCAGGAGATGGGGGTAGGGGGAAGGGGTGGGGCAGTCATCGTACCAGACTGGGCAAGGGGCAGACATCCCAGTCTGAGCACAGAACCCAAGGGGGCACGCTCACTGCAAAGTCCTGGGCCATGATGACCCCAGTGTTGGTCTAGGGAGAGTCTGAGCCTCCCATCCTCCCCCATCTCTGAGAGACAAGGCCCATAGGGCTTCCTTGAGTTCCCTGCTGCCCCCTTTCTCCTTCATTGGAATGTACTCTACCCTCTGCACCTGCTCAGGCCTCAGGAGGTACCCGCACAGGCACCACCCCACCCCGCCAGCCGGCTACTTCTGTGCTGGCCCTGAGCTCCCACTGCCCCCTCTGGAATTGGTCAGCTACAGAGGGATGGAGGAGGGGCCGCCGAGTCAGGTCTGCTCCCACCCACCTCACATGCCCTGCTAGCAGCCTCTGGCTCTGCTCAGCCCAGGCCGGCCAGGCTGGTTTACTCCAGTGGGCTGGGCTCCACAGTCACCAGGCTGGGGAGAATGACCTTGGACAAGGAGATTGGGGGATTCCCTTCAGTGCCCGGGACCTTGCCAGGCTCTCTGCCCCAGACACCTGTGTGTGTTGCGCTCCTGCAGGACAGCCACAGGGGCCGCACACAGGGCTGTTTCCCTCTGAAACTTAACAAAGGTACCTTCCCCAACAACTCAGCCCTTCTCTTCAGGCCCACTGCACGCATGCACACACACACACGTGTGCACACACACACACATGTACTGGTGCCCCGAGTAAGCATGCACACACAGTGACACATTTCCTCACCCCAGGTGAAGGCAGGAGCACCTGCCATGCACACAGACACCCGCCGCCAGGCTGCTGATGTGACACACACTGGGGCACCTACTTCCTCCTGCTGAGAACGCCCTCCTGCCTCGCACTGGCACCCAAGCCACCCCAAGTCCACATCCCACACAGTCGCTCATGCTCAGTGTGCCTTGCTCACACAACACACACACCCTCACAGGTGCACATGGCCTCCCTCTCTCAGGGGCAGCTGGGAGCGCTCTCAGGATAAGGGTGATAACAGGTTCTCCCCAGCCGTCTCTGGGGACCTCCCTTCCCCGCTCTGCAGAAGTGGCCTCTCTTCCAGGCTACATCCTTCCCACCCCCCCAACTGAGAGCCTTATATCTCCCCTGGCCGCACGCCCTCCTCCTTTTGGAGACCAGAGGCTGGGCCTGGGATTCAGCAGCTGCCCACGGCCTCAGCCAGGTTGGGGGAGGGGGATACTCACTGACTCGAGGGTGGGTGATATAGTTTCGGGTGACAGCATGTATATGCTCTCGGGCTGTGCCCAGGTCACAGGCACTGCCAGGGAGCCCTCCGGGCCTGCTGTCTACCTTCGTGGCCATGGTGCAGAGACGCCCGGGAGCTGAGTGGCTGAGGTGCTGGAGAGAATCAGCTGAAGCTGGAGTGAGCTGCCCAGCCTGCCCTGCGGCCACCCCTCCCACCTCCCCTCCCACTGGGCCCACTCCTCCCCTGCTTGGCTGTAAACACGGAAGCCCAAGCTCTGGCTCCACACAGCCCGGCTGTGCAGATCTGGGACGTAAGCAGTCACTGGGCTGTGGGTGTGGAGGGAGAAGGGCAGAGGGGGAAGACTGGTTTTCCCTCCCCCTGTGCTTGGCTGTTCCTCCACGCCCAATACCCAGTGAGTGGGAATTCACTTCCTCCCCACAGAGTTCTGGGTGGGTGCCTTTAACAGCCTGGTGGTCCTCGCCACGTCTCTCCCTGGTCTGCCCATACTCAACTCTGGCAGGCTGCTCTCTTCCCAATGTCGCCTCCTCCTGCCCTGCCCCGCTCCCCAGCACCTCTCTGCCCTCACTACTCCTGGGTATTTCTTCACCTGCATAATCCCACCGTCATCCTTTTGAACACGTACAGCAGCTCGTTTCTTGTGCCACCTCCCACAGGAGGCCATCCCTGGCTTCTGCAGCACCCTGGATTCACCACACAGCTGATCTCCTTTGGAAGAGAACTCTCTTGTTGCCACCAGGAGGCTGGGAGCCCAAAAGCAGCACTTGTGTCTTTGCCATCACACCCGGGTCTCCGTAAGCCTCTCAGTTTCACACTGTTTTTTAAAAGATGTATCAGGGCTGGCATTGTGGAATAGCAGGTACAGCTGCTGCCTGTGATGCTGGTATCCCACATGGGCACCAGCTGTGTCCCAACTGCCCCATTTCTGATCCTGCTCCCTGCTAATGGCATGGAAGAAGCAATGGAGGATGGCCCAAGTGGTTAGGCCCCTGCCACCCACATGGGAGACCTGGATGAAGCTCCTGGCTAAGGCCTGGCCCAGTGCTGGCCACTGCAGCCATCTGGTGAGTAAAACAGCAGGTTGAAGAACTCTCTCAGCTGGTGCCGCAGCTCACTTGGCTAATCCTCCGCCTGTGGCGCTGGCTCCCTGGGTTCTAGTCCCAGTTGGGACGCCGGATTCTGTTCCGGTTGCTCCTCTTCCAGTCCAACTCTCTGCTGTGGCTGGGGAAGTCAGTGGAGGATGGCCCAAGTGCTTGGGCCCTGCACCCACATGGGAGACCAGGAGGAAGCACCTGGTTCCTGGCTTTGGATCAGCACAGCGCACCAGCCACAGCAGCCAGTGGGGAGTGAACCAACGGAAAAGGAAGACCTTTCTCACTGTCCAACTCTGCCTGTCCAAAACAAAACAAAACAAAACAAAACAAAACAACAAAAAAAAACCCTCTCTTTCTCTGTCTCTTCCTCTCTCCAACTGTGACTTTCAAAATAAATAAGCCTTAAATAAGATTTACTGATTGAAACTCAGGTTTATAGAGAGAGATATGGAGAGACAGAAGAGATCTTCCATCCACTGGTTCACTCTCCAAATGCCTGCAGCAGCTGGGCTGGACCAGGCTGAAGCCAGGAGCCAGGAGCCCCATCCAGATCTCCTACATGGGCGGCAGGGACCCAGGCACTTGAGCCATCACCTGCTGCCTCCCAGGATGCACATCAGCAGGAAGCTGCATCGAGAGTAGCCGGTACTCGAACCAGGTACTCTGATGTGGGATGTGGGCATCCCCAGCTCCAGCTGACCCCGCTGTGCCACAATGCCCACCCTCTGTCTCACACAATTGAGAACTTCCTGGTCTCTCCTGGCCTGATTTTAGGACCCTGTCCCACCTCCTTATATACACCTCCAGGATTCCCTACAGCAGTACTGGCCTGACATTTCCAGTCCGTATGGAAAGTGTCTCACGCAGCGGTTAAGTCACTGATGGGGATGCCCACATCCCACACTGGAGTGCCTGGGTCCCGTTCTGGCACCTGCACTTCTGATCCAGCTTCCTGCTAATGCACACCCCAGGAGGCAGCAGTAATCGCTCAAGTGTTTGGGTTCCTGCCACACTTGTGGGAGACCTGCATTGAGTTCCTAGCTCCTGGTTTTCATGTGTCCAACCCCAGTCACCACCGAGCCTTATCCCAGCCTGGATTTCTCCTATCCCAGTGGTACCACCCAAGCAGACAGAAGGGACAATGCCTGGGTGCCCCATTCTGGGAGACTCCAGGAAGACAGCACGGAGCCAGAACAGCAGCGACTGCCTTCCCGAGAGAGCAGACTGTGTTCACATCTCCCTGCCAGAGGCGAGAGCTCACCTTGGCTCTCCAGTCTGAGCTCTGGTTCCAAGACTCACAACTCACATTCCCCCGAAGCTCGCTCACAGTGGGGGTGACCAGACAGGGGTGGCGGGGGGGTGGGGGCTCTGGGCTGACTGCGGGGGTGGCTCCAGCAAGCTACCCAGGTGACAATGCACACACGTGGGACTGACCTCAGCTTCCTGCTGTGAGGTTGTGCTACACTCAGGGAAGGAAGGAAATGGAGGAAGGCTTTTCCCTGCCGTGCAGCCACCCCTTGGTCTGAACCACCACAGAGTAACAAGTCAAATGACAGTGTTCTGTGCAGAAAAGCCACCTCATCCTGCGCCCTGCTGCAGTGTCTGTTTTGGCAGCCCCTCCGGGTCTTGCCTGGCTTAGCTCTGACGTCCCCTCGGGGCTGTCTACCGCCTGGTCTCACCCTTTACCCTTCAACCCTGGAGAGACTTAGTGTCCCGCCTCAAGCACTTGCACAGTTGAAGGAGCTGGCAGTGGGGTGCCTGGGAGGGCGCTCTCCTGGGGGTGGATGGGCGCCCGGACCGTCCTCGCCCTCAGCTCCTGCCCCTCCCACTGGAGGTCTCCCTCGACCCTAGGCCCCTTTGCCTTGGCGGTGAGGACGAGGATGGAGGGAAGGAGGCGGTGCCGTCGGGACTGGTTCCCTTCTTGTCATTGTTGTCCTTTTATTTCTGTGAAGACGCACACGCACACTGCGCTCACACACACACAAGCTGCGGGACCAAGGCCTTTCGGTCGAGTCTCTGAGCCCGGGGCCGGGGGCCTCCCGCGGGACCTGCTCGGTACCGTCCGCCAGGGCGGTGCCATGCCGGAGGGTCTTAGGTGCTGGCTTTCTTGCCGCCGCCGGGGCTGCCGACTTTCCGGTCCAGCCGGCTGTAGGGCTCGAAGGCCGAGGAACCCAGTTCGTAGCCGGGCGACAGGTCCAGCAGCGGCGCCGCGGAGAAGCATACGGCCGGCAGCGGGGGCGGCAGCGGTGGCGACGCGGCGGCCGCCGGCAGCGGGTGCAGGCGCGGGGAGGAGTTCCTGGGGTCACCCAGCGAGGTGCCTCTGGGGCCGGCAGGCAGGCTTGGCAGGCCAGGGGTCAGCGTCAGGAGGCTGGGCGCCCTGGGCACGGAGAGCAGCCGGCCGTGCTCCAGCAGCCGTAGGATGTTGGAGGTGGCGAAGGCCTCGGAGGCGGAGGAGGACGCCCGCTTCTCCAGGTCTCTGCTCTGGTCTTTCTTCTGTTTGGTGCGCCGGTTCTGGAACCAGACCTTCACCTGGAGGGGGCGGGGACGGGGACGGGAAGGGAGGGGCCAATGCAGACACGTGGGGCAGGTGGGCGGGGCATGGGGGCCAGGGGAAAGGGAGTAGGGGCACAGGGCACAGACAGAGGGGGTGGGGGTGGGGGGAGAGAAAGCAGGTGGTCACTGGGGCCTTCCCATACCAGCCTACTCTGGGTGGACTACGCCCCCAAATTATAAACACTTGTACACCGCTGAAGCTCACTCTGTCCTAGGCTGGCTGAACAGATTGGCAGAAGGAGGGGGGAACTTGGGGGTACAATTGAATCTCCCCTCTTGGTCCTCATAGCCAAATTCATGGCCTCAGTAAGCTTTTTTGTGCGGGTTTTCTTCAACTGGATCTCAGGTCCTGCGGTCTGACCTGAGATCCAGGTCGTGCATCCAACTGTCACCATTGCCTGGCGCAGCCTCGGAAACAGTCCGAGTGCGCCCACAGAGACCCAGTCCTCGTCAGCTCCTCCGGGCAGAGGCCTCTCCGCACCACCCCGCAGCAGGGCCACCCGCATCCACCAAAGCAGAGGGGCGGTGCTGAAGGCGAACCCCGCCCCATGCTTTTCTCTCGCCTGCCCTCTCTCACCCGCACTGTGGCGCTGTCTGGACAGCAGCGCCCTCACCCCTGGCTGCCCAGGACAGCCACCTGCCTCCTTGCTCACCCCAGGGTGAGGGTGGCTGGAGCTCACCAGATGCTTCAGGCCGAGGAAACCCCCGCTCCCTCGGTCTTCCTGCCTTGGGGCCCCGCCCTAATGTGTGCAGGGCTGGGGACAACAGGATGAATGGAAGGCTCTGGCTCATAGCTCCCAGGGTTCTGGGTATGGGCAGGCGCTGCAGCCTGGGCCCCACTCAGCAGACAGCTCCCCACTTGCCAATACTTGGGCCGGGGCTTTTGAATAACAATAGTGGTCTGTGCAGTGTGGGGAGGCCCAGGCAGGTCCTGGAAGTGGGCTTGGGGCTGTTGGCAGGGAATTCTGGGCTTCTGATGGCAGGGGAAACTGGTGGTCGTCAGAGTCCTCCACACCTGCTACCCCCAACCCCGCAGGACAGGGCCCGCTGTCACTGCCCAGCACCCAGTCCTTCAAACCCCTTCCAAGTCTGTGGAGCAGGGCGGGGCAGGGGCTGGGAGGGAAGCTCCGTAAACCTGAGGGTGATGAGGTCTCTCCTCTGAGTAGGAAGGAGTGCTTCCCCCACAAAAGGCAAGTCAGAGCCCCTAGAGAATCACTTATAGGCATTAAAAATGCCTGCAGGAAGGGGAGATTGGCATTGGTGCCCCAGCTGGAAAACTCATATGAGCACTGGTTCAAGTCCTGGCCAATCCACTCCCAATCCAGCTCCTTGCTAAAGCAGTGGAAGATGGCCCAAGTGCAAGTACTTGGGCCCCTGCACCCACATGGGAGACCAGGATGAAGTTCAAGGCTCCTGGCTTCAGCCTTTGCACTCACCTAACCTCTGGACTGGGCTAGTGCCACTGCCCAGGAGCCCCTCTGTGACCTGAGGGCGGCAGCTTCACCTCATGACACTGAGGAGCCATGGGACAGCTTCTGCTCTCTGAGCTAGAGGGGACCCGGGAGGCCTCCTCATCCTTGCCTTTCAGGGCCCTCTGCTCCAGGGCGCATCCCTTCCTGCCTGCACAGGCTGCCCCTGCTCCAGGCAAGGCGCTCCCTGGGACGCGAGTCTCTTGCTCCTAGGACAGGGGCCTGCAGATGCTGTGGCCTGACTTGTTTTCCAGCTGGGTTTATGGAACAAGGTCTGTTTTGTACAAAGCAGGGATCTGCTGTACATAAACAACCCTGGGGCAGTTATTGAACCTCTCTGAGGCTCAGTTTTCTTACAGGGGGATAATGTTCCCAATAAAGCCATCCACTAAAGATTAAACGACGGACAGGCATTGCAGTGTGGAGCATTACTGAAATGCTGGGTTCAGTCCTAAGCTGCTCTTCTTCCAATTCAGATTCCTGCTAATGTGCCTGGGAAACCAACAGATGATGGCCCCTGATAGCCACATGGGAGACCAGGATGGAGTTCCTGGCTCCTAGCTTCAGCCTGGCTCAACCTGGCTATTGTGGCCACTTGGGGAGTGAATCAGAGGATGGAGGACTTATCTCTCTCTCTCTTTCTCCCTCTCTCTCCCTCCTTCCCTCTCTCTCCCTCCCCACTCCCTGTTTCTCTTTCAAGTAAATAAATAAATCTTTTTTTAAAAAGACTAAGTAAGCTAATGGATGTGTCTGCTTTAAATCTTGAGCAAGTTATTTTTCTGTGCGCCTCTCTCTCTCTTTTTAAGACTTACATTATTTATCTGAAAGGCAGAGTTACTGAGAGAGAGAGAGAGAGAGAGAGAGAGAGAGATATCTTCCATCCACTGCTTCACTCCCCAAATATCCAAAATAGCTGGGGCTGGGCCAGACAGAAGCCAGGAGCCTCATCTGGATCTCCCATGTGGGTGCAAGAAACTAAGCTCTTGGGCCATCTTCCATTGCTTTCCCAACTGTGTTACCAGGGAGCTGGATCAGAAGTAGAACAGCCAGGACTTAAATTGGTGCCCTGTGATGCTGGCATCACAGGTGGTGACTTAACCTGCCATGCCATAAGGTATAATGCCAGTCCCTGTCTCCTTCTCTTTAAAGTGGAAACAATACAGGCCCATTGTATAATAATAATAATAACAAAAATGCTCCTCACCCTGGTTCCTGGCACAGAACTCCTAAATCCTTGGGATTTCTTAGGGGATGGCTGTGTTTTTGCTCTTCATAGGAGCCCCTTTGACCACACCTAGATTCATGCTTGTGATCCTTTGGGATGGACCTGGTCTCATAAAGACCAAACAAGTGATCAGAAGGGGGGAACTTTCAGCCACCTAGTCCCACCTCCAGGGAGAGAAGCAGGCTGAAAGTTGGGTTATTAAAAAAAAAATTTTTTTAAGGCCGGCGCCGCGGCTCACTAGGCTAATCCTCCGCCTAGCGGCGCCGGCACACCGGGTTCTAGTCCCGGTCGGGGCGCCAGATTCTGTCCCGGTTGCCCCTCTTCCAGGCCAGCTCTCTGCTGTGGCCAGGGAGTGCAGTGGAGGATGGCCCAGGTGCTTGGGCCCTGCACCCCATGGGAGACCAGGAGAAGCACCTGGCTCCTGGCTCCTGCCATCGGATCAGCGCAGTGCGCCGGCCGCGGCGGCCATTGGAGGATGAACCAACGGCAAAAGGAAGACCTTTCTCTCTGTCTCTCTCTCTCTCACTGTCCACTCTGCCTGTCAAAAAAAAATTTTTTTTTTAAATGAGAGAGAGAGAGAGATCTCCCATCCACAGGTTCACTCCAAATGTCCCCAACAGTCAGGGCTGCATCAGGCTGAAGCCAGGGGCCCAGAACTCCGTCATCATCTTCCATGTGGATGGCAGGGGCCCAGCTACCTGAGCCATCACCACTGCCTGCAGCAGAACCAGGACTGAAGCAGGCGCTCTGATGTGGTATCCCACATGGCATCTTAACCGCTGTGCCAGGGCCAGCTCCCCTATAAAAACTCTTGGAAAAAAATCAATGTGGGGAACTTCCAGGACGAGGCAGCAGAGAAGGCATGGGAGCACCCAGCACCTTCCTTTCACCTTGCCCCGAGCACCCTGTCCATTGGCCGTCCCTGACAAGTGTCCTTTACGATAAACCAGCACTCGTAACTGGAGTGTTTTCCTGAGTTCTGTGAGTCAGTCTAGTGAATTAACAAACCAGCGGAGGAGACTGTGGGAGCCCCCAAATGCAGGGCCATTCATTCGGAAGCACAGGGGTCTCCTGGCACTTGTGACTGGCGTCTGCCATGGCCCTGTCTTGTGGGAGCATGCCCTCGACTTGTGGGTCTATGCTGTCTCTGAGCAGTGGGGTCAGAACAGAGTCGTCAGGCAGGCAGAAAGTGCTGGAGAACTGGAGAGTCGGCTGGTGGCATTTTGGAACACAGCACACATTTGGTGTTAGAAGGAAAACCATGCACCCATGCCACAAGGTTGTGGTGAGGGCTGAGCTAGTTAGAATTTGTCAGGCTTTGGAGCAGGGCCTGGTGCCAAGGAAGCAAGGAGGCGCCCAGCAAGTGATGGCTATGGGGTACCTGGAAAAGGTCTCTGGGGAGGAGATCAGGTAGCTTTGGGGGTGGGATGAACATTTGGCATGGCGGTTACGCGGCTACCTGGGACACCTGCATCCCAGATCAGAGGCTGTGGTTCAAGTCTCAGTTCTGCTTCCAGTCCAGCTTCCTGCCATCATCCTGGGAGGCAGCAGGTGATGGCTCAAATACTCAGGTGCCTGCCACCCACGTGGGAGACCTCACATGGGTTACAGGCATTTGGGGGAATAGGCCAATGGGATGAAGATCTCTCGTTCTCGCTCTCTCTCTCTGCCTTTCAAGTACAGTAAAAATCAATAAATTAAAAAAATTTTAAGTTCTAGAACTTTGTAGTTGGGTGCCTTAGTGCCAGCATCCCCCTAAGCCACTCCCTGCCTCTGGGGTACCCCTTCTCCTTTCCTAGCCTCTCTCCGCAGCTGGCACTGACTGGTGCCCTCTCTCTTAGCCCTGCGTTTATTTGCTCTGGTTTCCTGCAGCTTCGAGTCTTTCCTTCATGCTTATCTGAATTCCTCCAAATGCGGCTTTCCCTCTAGCAGCCTACAAGCCTCATACCCCAGGGAGTCCCCAGGTTGCCAGGACGAGGGAGGAGTGGCCTGGTCCCCCGCTCTTACCTGGGTCTCGGACAGGTTCAGCTGGCGAGCCAGCTCCGTGCGCTCACGGCCCACCACGTACTGGCAGCGCTGGAACTCCATCTCCAGGCGGTACAGCTGCTCGGCTGTGAAGGATGTGCGCGTCCGCTTGGGCCGGTCCAGGTCCAGGCCCTTGGGCAGAACGATTTCCCGGATGGTCCCTTTGGCATCTGTGGGAGCCGTGAAGGGAGCCAGGTTAGTTCACCAGCTGAGGAGCTGGCTCCCTGAGAAGCATCTGAGCTAGAGGCCATACGATCTAGCAAGGAGCGCTTTGGACCTGGGCCTGGCTGTGTGACCCCTGAGAAGGTGCTCGTCCTCTCTGGGTCCAGCTTCCTTGACCCCCAATGCAGGATGCTGTATCTAATGGGTAAACGTAATGAATGGACCTCAGGACAAATGGCAGGTGTGCCGTGAGAGGGCCTGCACAGAAAGGACTCGCTCGGACCCACCCAGACTGTGCTTCCTCAGTAGAGGAAGGAACAGATGTAAAGAAATGGACTGAGTCTTCAAGGACAAAGGGAGAGAGAGGCTGGCATTGGGTGTGATCAGCAAGGGAGGCCTACTGGAGAAGATCCCCGAACCACGTCTTCAGCCGTCCGCCTGTGTGTGCATGGCATATGCATGTGTGTGTGTGTACAGGTAAGCATTGTGCACATATGAAGAGGTTGTCTGGGTGAGGGAGAGGACAGGCTAGTGAGTGGGGGGGTCCCCAGGAGCTGCCCAAGGACAATTGCTACCACATTAGCGCCTTCCAGAGGGGGGACTGCCCCTCTCCATGAACGGTAGGGCCATCAGCTGGGTGCTGAACCAGTGCCCTCCACACACAGCATCTGCAATATGTTGGAGCCCACATAAGAGGGATGGAAAACTCCCCGGGCCGCGTCTACCACACATTCCCAGGGAAAGAACTTAGCACAACTGTAGCTGGAGATGACTGTAGCTGTGTGCACACAGTCACGCTTTCATTCACCGTGGGACGCGTCCTGAGACCGAGGCAGTGGGGGCCTTGCTGTTGTGGGACTATCGCAGAGTGTGCTTCCCCAGACCTACGTGGTGGAGGTTCCAGCATTCAACAGAGCCTCTTGCAGTCGAGACTTGGCAGGCACGAGATGCAACGTAGTCTCCTCTCATCACGATTAAGTACCAGGTACTGCACAAAAGTGTATGTGCTGTAATTCCCGAGACTGGCCGTGCTGGAGGCCTGTTTGCACCAGCAGCACTGTGAACACGCGAGTGATGTATTGTGCTATGAAACAACAGCTGCTCCTCTAGGCAACGGGAACTTTCCAGCTCCGTTTTACTCTGGTGACCCCTGCTGTGTCCAGTCCATCCCTGACGGAAATGTCATTCTGTGGCACAGCAGCTAGAGGGGTGGCGATGATCCCCATTTGAGTCACACACACTGATGGCTTCAAATGAGGTGACCAGAATACTTTAACAATTACATTGTAAAAATAGGCAGCATTGTATCCTGTAGAATGTACCAAGCCACTCCCAGCAGATGATGTTGGTAACAGGGAAGCTGCGGGAGCAGTAAGTTACCATTCCGGTGGCAACAGAGAGCTCACCACTTCCAGGCAGCCTTGAAGAAGCCCAGGAACAAAGCAGCCTCCGCAGCTGCAGGACCTCCACCTGCCTCCAGGGGGCGAGAACGGTTAGAATTTGCAATATGGCCAGACGTGGTGGTGCTGGGGCTGCTCTTATCTGGTTGTCAAAGCAGACACGTCTGCAGAGCTTGCTCTGGGCCAGGCACTGTGGTAAGCACTTTATCTGTGGTAAGCACAATATCTCAACGAAGGTGAAACCACAATCATTCCATTTCACAGATGAGGAAATGGCGGACCACCTTAAGTACTGCTGGTGGTCAGGAACCTCTAAAACACCCTCATTTTACATAATAAACATCCTCTTGGTAATCCTTACTAATGCAATTGATGAGATATAATGAAGAGAACATTTTCTAAAAACTTATTTTGAAAGGCAGTGTGACAGAGAGGGAGACACACATACACCCATACACACACACACACACACACACACACACACAGATCTTCCACCTCCTGGTTCACTCCTCAAATGGTCACAACAGGTGGGGCTGAGCCAGGCCAAAGTCAGGATCCTGGAACTCCATCCAGGTCTCCTATATTGGTGGCAGGGGTTCAGGCAGACAGGCCATCTTCTGCTGCTTTCCAAGTGCGTTAGCAGGTGGCTGCATCGGAAGTGCTGAGGAGCTGGGACTCAGATATGGGGTGGGGGAGTTCCAGTGGCATACCCGCCGCGTCACAATGCCTGCCCCTATGAGGAGAATTTTGGTCCTAGTTAAAAAGTGGAATTTTCTGGATGGTTCAGAATTTCATTAAAGAACGCATGAACGGGGATGCACTTGGGAGGTGCTGTCTGTTGGGGCTCCTTGTGAACCCCCCAGGTCTGGGTGCCCCTTTTGGAATCCCCAGTCTGGGTTAACCCAATCCCCCTCTCTCCTAATTCCTAACACGTGAGACTGCGTCCAGTCCATGTTCACCTTCAGGGTGCATTCTGGCTTCTGATCCCTGCCCCAAATCATAGAGGTTCTCCATCAGCCTCAGGGCTAAGATGGGTCAGGGTTAGGACGAGGTCACTGCTCACAGCTGGCCCAAGCCCACCTTGAACTCAGTGCCAGCCCAGGCAGAGCACATCAAACGAAGTGGCCCTACTCTTGAGTGCTTTTAGAAACCACAGGCCCCTAGGGGACAGCTCCAGCTCCATAGCTCCAATTCTCTCCACAAAGCTCAAAGGGTAATATTTGTAACCCTGGGACTAGCATGTGTCACAGCGGGTTAAATGCTGATTGTGACACTGGCATCCCATATCTGAGGCCAGTTCCATTGTGTCTGATCCAGCTCCCTGCTAATGCACTTGGGAAGGTGGCAGATCATGGCCCAAATACTTGGGTCCCTCCACCCACATGGGACACCCACATGGAGTTCCAGGCTCCTGGCTTCAGCCTGGCCCAGACTTGGCTGTCAGACACTTTCAGAGACTGAACCAGCAGACAGAAGATCTCTCTCTCCCTCTCTCTCTCTCTCTTTCTCTGCCTATCAAATAAATAAATGAATCTTTTTAAAAATTCATGGAAAATGGAATTAAAATATTAGTTTATTTGCAAAAAGCATGACCCATCCTAACAAAGTTGGCCTCATTTGCTTAGGTCCCAGCATTTCCAGTTGTGAGGTCAAAGTCAGGACTTCTCCACAACACTGCAGGTGCACCCATCTCCCATGGCATTGCTTTAATGAAATGTGTCCTGGGTGGTGTGGACCGGAGGAAGGGTGCTGTCACACCCGGCCCCTCCTAAGTCCGCCTCTTAGAGGCCACTGTGAAGCCCCTGGATTGGAGCGCTCTAACCATGAGCCAAACCCCATGTGGACACACCCTTTTCTCTTTGAATGAGAGCTAGGAGAGCCGCTGATCTCCAGGGAGCAGCCAAGGGCAGCTGTCTCCTTCAGGATCAGGGAAGCAGGTACCAACCACACAGAATGGGCAACCTCAGCCTCACACTTGCCACCAGATACCAAATATGCTGCAAAATTAAGCACCTGGAAAGATGTTCCTCAGTGCCAATCCCGTCTGAGAATACTGGGTAATAAAACCGTGGGAGGAGTTGCACCAGCTAGGAAGCCCTTGGTCCAGGAGAAGAGGGTCGGGTCAGGAGAAATGGCAGGAAGATCTGGACCCCTACCCTTACAAGCCCCAGTCTGAATGCAGCTGAGAGGCCCACCTGGTGTTCTCCCTCCATTAAGCTTTGCTACCTTGCTTAACACTACTGCATGTACACGGGGCACTCTCAGATTGCTCTGAAGAGGTGCCCGTCCGGGCTGACGGATGCGCTGCCTCGTTAAACCTTGCTACCTTGCTCTCATGTCTGAACTGTTTTCTTTAAAGGATTTGTTTCTTAATTTGAAAGGCAGAGTTACAGAGGTAGAGGCAGAGAGAGCGAGAGAGGACTTCCATCCACTGGTTCACTTTCTAGATGGCTGCAACGGCCGGAGTTACGCCAATCCGAAGCCAGGAGCCAGCAGCTTCTTCTGGGTCTTCCACAAGGGTACAGGAGCCCAAGGACTTGGAACATCTTCTACTGCTTTCCCAGGCCATAGCAGAGAGCTGGACTGGAAGTGGAGCAGCCGGGACTAGAACCGGCGCCCATATGGGATGCCAGCACTGCAAGCTGCTGCTACGCTATAGCACTGGTCCCGGAACTCTTTACTTCTGGGAAGACAAGAACCTCTACTCCAGCCATCTCTGCTCACATGGTTACTTAGGTCCCTTCCAGTCACGTGGGAGACCCAGGTGGTGGTCCCTGCCCCTGGCTGTTGTGGGCATTTGTGTAGTGAGCTAGTGGATGAAAGCATGCTCTTGCTCTCTCTCTCTCTCTCTCTCTCTCTTTCACCCTGTCACTCTGCCTTTCAAATAAATAAATAAATAGAAAAAGAAATAAATCTTTTTAAAAATGATAAAGTCATAGAGGTAGAGAACAAACCAGTGATTGCAGGGTCTGGGACTGGGAGAGGCTGTGGCTCCCAAGGTAGTATGAGGCAGTCCCCTTGTGGTGACACAACAGATTTGTATGTTGATTGTGATGGTGGCTCCGTGGATCTACAGAAATATGACAACATGTCATAGAACAACAGTTGTCCCTCAGTAGCCACTGGGGATTGGTTCCAGGACCCCCTGTGGACACCAAAGCCCCAAGATGCTCAAGTCCCTCACATTAAACGGTGCAGTTTTATGTGTGCATGTGACACATCCTTCCGTAGACCTGAAATCATCTCTAGGTCACAGATTGCAGACACAATACGAGTGCTGTGTAGATAGTTGTTATACTATATTGTTTAGGGAATAATGACAAAGGAAAAAGTCTTTGTCCTGAGTATTTGTCATCCAAGCTTTGTTGAAAGAGTGCATGTGAAATCACGGATATGGAAGGCTGACTGTGGATACAGAGGCCAAAAAATGAGTGCAAGGAAAGATGTGTGAAATCCAAGGAAGGTCTGTAGTCTGATTAGCCATATTGTGCCAAAGCCGATTTTCTGGTTTTGATAGTGTGCTGTAAGATGCCACCTTTGGGAGAAGCTGGGTGATTGAAGCACAGGACTCTCTGTACTATTTTTACACCTTCTTGTGGGTCTATAAT